TTGTGGGTCCCTCTAGTTGTGGCATGTGGGACACCGCCTCAGCGTGGTTCGATGAGCAGTGCCATGTCCACGCCCAGGATCCGAACCAACGAAACATTGGGCTGCCTGCAGCAGAGTGCACAAACTTAACCACTCGGCCATGGGGCCGGCCCCTCACTAATTCTTTGAATCATGAAAATGACTGGGAGAATCATCTTTTTGGGGGGTTTGACCAATAGCAACTAGCACAGAACTGGGCACATACTAGGCATTACTTGCTTAATTAATACTTCATGAACAATCTGTTGAATGCACGAGCCAATGGCCAAAATTCATGACTTCCAGTTAAAAATAATAATGATACAAAATTTAAAACATCACAGTTGTCTAAGGAACCATATCTAACCCACCTTACTACTATAAGAATCTAAGGAGCATTTTTTTAGAAAATTCTTGTCATACAGTTTCCACCTTAAACCATAAAAAGCAGAACCTCATTCCTCTTTCCCATATGAAGATACAGGAGACTTGGAGGTTGATGGCTCACCTCGAGTCTTGAATTCTTGCCTCATCATTTATATCTTGACAAAATCAGTCTTAAGTCATCACATTTGAAAAGTATAAATCGAAAATAGTTCTCAGGTGTCCCTTCACTTAACACTGAGTTATTGAGTGTCTTCTATAAGGGTCAGCCCTGCAGGTTCCCTCTGATCCTAGCTGGGCCTTCACTGAAGTTAGACAATCCTCTCATTCATCCCCAATTGATTTCTTATTCCACCCACAGAGGCAGCTGTTCCAAACCTCTGGAAGTTGCCTGAACTTTCCTAACCCATCCACCACCTTTCCTTTCTGCAGAGGACCTCATCTCCTGCCTTATTTAAAAGACAGAGACCACACAACGTGGCTATACTAAACACCCCTCCATTCCACGAAGAGATTACAATCTGAGCACCACTGCTCTGTGATGACCTAAAGATGACGTAAACACAAAACCAAAAGGCCTACAGATGAAGTCATCACTGGGTCTTTCTCGGGCATCTCTCCAGAAGGTCATGTTTACTTTTTGCTCTCCTTGCACTGTTTCTGCTTTGTCGTAAGTCTATCAAAATGCCACTCAGCCAGAATGACTTCTGCAAGAAATTCGGCCTGAACCCAAGCTCTGCCTTCCAAAACAACTTCTTTCAAGAATTTGCGCCCAATTTGTTTTCTCCTCTGTTGTCAAGGGTCCAAGAGGGTACAGCCTAAATGGTAGTCCTCTGAGGCACATCACACACAGCCCTTGGCATAACGGCCTTGGCTAGGAAGCCGATATCCAAACTCTTTGCATCCTGGGAGGCGTCCCACACCCACTGACTGAATTCTGAAGTGTCTTTGTACAGACAAGGGGCCTTGACAGAATCTGTGAATCATAAAGTGTCTTCAGTTTCCTGTTGGCTCCATGGTACAGAGAGGCCAAAGATTTGTCTTCTTAAATTGACACACAATATATAATTAATAAATTGTTCCTTTAGGAGCGGAGAGCAGTCATCCAAAAGAGCCACACACTCCTCCTCTCCTCTATTTCCAGGGCCCTTTCTTCTCAGACTGGGATTTAGACATTATCTCACCCGCAGGCTCCTGTGGGGGCAGGCAGGTAACAAGAGGGCAGGCAGGCTGCTTTCTGTGGCCTGGTTTTTAAAGTCAGAGAGGCAGTGGCTGATTTAAAGGCACACAGCAAGTCAGGGACGCATCCTGTGTCCTCAGGCCACTGTACTGCTCTGTCTGCCTGGGAAAACAAAGCGTGCCCTCAAAGCTTTTGGTTGGTTGCAAAATACTGAATGCAAGCAGAGGAAGAGGTCCTTCCTGACCTCGGTGTGTTGAAATGTGAGAACCACCTCAGGGCTTCTGCTCTGCATATTCCCTCCCCCTTCTCTCTGCCCGCTCAAGTTACACCCACCATCAGGGTGCCACTCCAGAGCACTGCCTACCGGACGCCCTTACTGACACCATGTCTCACCGCTCCTTCGGTTGCCTTCTGCAGGTAAACCTGGGGCTGAGTTTCTTGGTCACAGAGACCAACTCCCCTGGGAAAAACAAAATCCAGGGAGGCTCTGGAGGTCGAGGGGTTGGTAAGAGCTGTGGGTTGACTACACACGTGAGCCACATTCTTAATGATTACATAATTAATACATCATAACAATAAATATATAAATATAATAGTACTTACTACTTTCATGCATCCCCCATTTAATAAGAGCACCCCATGAAATACTAGCTGCTTCCCCACCACTGCTGGCCTGCCACTCACCGCCAAGAAGGCAGCAGCGTGCTCCACTCCCCTGCCCCACCTCTACTACTAATGCAGGGTCCATCCTCTGGATCCTAAACATAGCTTTGTTCCTCAAAACAACAGGACCAAAGGTCTTTTACAAAGACCCCAATGAGGTGACTGATGTCTGGTTTCGTCAACTACAAGTGAATAATTAATACATGCCAGTAAAGAAATAGACTCATTGTTATGGTGGCCACATGGAGGCTACAAAAGGCCATTTTGTGACGCTCTTGGTGGAACCCTGGGGCTGACAGCGGCCCAAAGAAACAGCTCTGAGAGTGTGGGCCGATCCTCAAACGTGGAGACTGGAGCTCTCACTGTTTTCCAGGAGCGTTGTCCCCAATATTAATTAGCTTGTGGCTTATTCATGACCTAATTCAGCTTGCTGGTCAATGACAGCAGTGGAGGCTCAGCGAAATGCACACAAGAAGGCGTGATTTATCAGAGGGGACATAGAGTGTTCTCCTGGGGCCCTTTCCCAGTTTTTAAATTCATGCCTATTTCCTTCTCTGGGCCAGCCTCTGATCCCATCTGAGTAAAGCTCTCCACTCTTACTGGGTTTAAGACCCCACTCTTGGCCCAATGCCTAAAGCAAGTTTTTCCTTTCCCATTTCCAGCAGGGACTGAACAAGGCGGGCTTGGGTGCCTATAAAACCGGTCAGAACTGGCCGGGAAATATAATAAAGAAGCTTAGTGAGCAGAGAGCGAATGCCTCCAGCCAGAGGCTCAGTGTGCAGAACTAGCCAGAAGCACTGGCTTTGTAAGCAACAACACACTCTCCTTGTGGCCTAGTAACTGTCTTGGTAGACGGCAGCCAGCGCCATCCCGTAGCTCTATATCCACAGGAAAGTTTCACCTCCCCCAAGTGGACACTGGTGCTCAATAAATGCCTGCTAGCGACAGTAACCCCTGACCAGTTACACAAACACACACTCCCACATATTTCTGCCCTCAGGGCCAAAGCTGCCCTTACAGCAATCAGAGCTGAGAGCTGCTAGATATTTTCATTTCAGAGTGCTGTTCCCCAAAATTGCTACCTAGCTCCCTACTCCCACTTCCAGCCCACTGCCTGAAATTCCACCAGGAGAGACGTCAAAAATTTTGACTTAAAGCTTTGTTTCCCATTAACATGCCTCCCAGCCTATTTCCCTTCTGGTCAAATGACTTCTGAAGCACCTGCTCTGTACTGAATAGGAAATCTTTGTGTATTTAGCTCTTGAGGATATACACTTTCACTGGCTCTTTTCTTGAAAACAACTTCTGACACAGGAGAATGGGGGCAGCACAGGGCACTGTATGGCAATGGAGCTGGGAGGCCTCAGGGACAGTCACAGAGAAGATCTGATGGTGGAGAAAACAACCTTCAAGGCACTCACAATCCTGCCCAGGGACATGGACCTAGATTTTTGTCCTCCAACATCTGCGATCTCCAGGGTTGCCAGCATGGCTTCCAACAGGGGCTGTGCCCAAGAGTAAGAGAAGAGCCCTCACCCTAAAGGGGACACAGGCTGGAGGTGGAAAGGGGGAGCATGGGAACCAGCACTGTCACGTGATTTGCCCCTCAGGCCCGCAGGACTGCCCCAGTCTCCCTGCCTATGCCATGAGGGCACAGGCACCCACCAGCTGGCAGGAAAAGATCATTGCCCTCTTCTTGGCCTGGCTAGAAGGGGAGCTGACGGCCCATCAGCCCTTGGGTTTCTGCTGTGCTGGGGAAACTAGGCAAGCACAGGTCAGATTCCTTGGTCCGGGGAGGGCACCTGGGCAGTCCTAGTGACCTTCCCTGCCAGGTTCTCCCTACAGAGAACAATGCTCCTGATGGAACATGCTTCCCGCCCCCACCTTCACCCCAAAACAGAGAGCACCCCCTTCTCTTCCTTTTCACAGAGGCGGTGTGGACCCACCGAGGGGGAGGGCTATCCTGGAAAACAGAAGCCACAACAGACAGGTAGGCATCTTCCCCATTCTTCAGAGCTCAAGAAAACCCAACCTTTTCCCCAGCAGTCAGCCCACTCGTCCCCTTCCCCCCACCTCCTTCCCCACCCTCAGCCAGCCGGAGAGAGAGAGCGATGCTAGTCTAGGCCAGAAGGCTTCAAAGCGGGTCAGAAGTGCCTCCTGTCTCATTAAAGCCCCCACACCCAAACACCGCCGCTTCGCCCCTCGCCCCACCCATCGCACGTTCCCCGCAGGGCGCTGTGTGCCCCAGGCGGCTGCCAGGCGGGTCCAGGCGGCTCTCGCTGGCCCTGGGGGAGGCGATGGTGGCCGCGGCGCAAAGGCGGCGGCCGGCGCTCTGCAGTACCTGGGCGCGGGGATGTCGCCGCCGCCGAGCTCGCGGCCGCTGCAGGTGTCTCCGGTGCTCGGGATTAGCGCCGCTTCCTCTAGGGCCGGCGGCTCCGGCCCAGGCCGCGCACCTGCTGATGCCGCCGCCGACGACCCGCCCGAGCCCCGCTGTGTGTCCGCGCCTTCCTGCAGGGGGTCCGTGCCGCGGGGCCCGGGGTGAGCGGGAGGGGGAAGGGGCCCGCGTAGGGCCTGGGGTGCCGTCTCCGGGGGCTTCCGGGGACCCCAGGCCGCGCTAGCCCGGGCTCCACGCCGAGCGCCCCCAACGGGCTGGGAGAAGGTGCGCTGGCCCCTCGCGCATCCTCATGGCCACATCGCTGTCCCCAGCAGCATCCCAGTCCCTGCGCCGCCCCGGAGGCCTGCGAGCGCCGCTTACCTGGGTGTGCGGCAGGTCCAGGGGAGGGGCCCAAGGCTACGGCAGGGCACCGCGCCCGGGCACAGGATGCTCTGCCCGGCTCCGCTCAGCCGGCCGCCGCGCTCGGCCCCGCCCTCGGCCCCGCCCCTCCGCTCGCCGTGGCTCCGCCTCCCCGCCGGTGCCCGGCCCCTTCGCTGCGCGGCGGCCGCACAAAGAGCAGGAAATGGCTGCGGCGAGGGGCTCCCGGCTCGCCCCTCTCTGCGGCCCGCGCATCCCCGACCTACACCCCGGGCTCCCGCTCCCGGACAGCCAACTCCCCTGCTCTGGAGGGGAGGACTTGCGCCCAGACTCCCGTGCCTGGGAGCCACACCTGCAGCCGTGGGAGGACGGAAGCTTGGGGATCCATTTGGATCTCATTGATCTCACATTATTTGCAAGCGCTCATTTCGCTACCGAATATTTATTGAGCAGCTATTTTGTTCCAAGTACCGTGCCAGGAGCTGGATGTGCACTGGTGTACAAAAGACAGGGTCCCTGCCCTTTTGAAACTTGTTTATCAAAGAGGGCATACATTAAACCAGCAAAGGTCCCAGTTACGGCTGGGAAAAGTCCTGTGAAGGAAGGAACCGGGTGAAGTGCTAGAAAATAAGTCTAGGGGTGGGAAGAGGGGCCTCCGCCAATCGAGTCTGGTCTCTAATGCTGCTCCTCTGCTCAAGAACAACTCAATCCCTTTCAGTTCGAATCCCCGAAGCTGCCATCTCTTAAACAGGGACCTGCCTCAACTTCATTCAGGACGAACTGCCTAACGGACGAAAAGGAAAATATATCGTGACGGGAAGGATTTCCTGGCCAAGCAGAGAAGGACCTGAGAGGATAGGCATCTTTCTCTTCAAGGCTTACCTGCCATTTAGGGCTCTCCGAAAACGGGTCTCACTGAGATGCAGCCGCTGAAGTCGGAGCACACCAAATCCCAACCTTGGGATCCTTTAGCAAATCGCTTCACCATTCTATTCCTGGTAGGCCCTCATATCTATAATGTGGGGAATAATAGTTGCCCTTCCGACTTCATAGGGTAAATAATTTGAAGCAGTTGAGACATTTTAAGATGTATATAGATATGAGGAATAAAGTCCTGCTACAAGGGAACCTTTCTGAAGTGTTTCCATGAGACTCACAAATTTACATAATATAAAATGTATCATTGCAACCATTTTTAAGTGTATAGTTCAGAGGCATTAAATACATTCATAATGTTGTGCAGCCGTTGCCACCATCCATCTCCAGAGCTCTTTTTATCTTGTAAAACTGAACTCTATACCCATTGAACGCTAACTCCCCAACCTCCCTCCCCGAGCACCTGGCTACCACCATTCTGTTTTCTGTCTCCGATTTTGACTAAGTATCTCATATAAGTGGAATCGCAGAGTATTTGTCTTTTTGAAACCGCTTATTTCACTTAGTACAATGTCCTTAAGTTTCATCCATATTGTAGCATATGTCAAAATTTCCTTCCTTTTTAAGGCTGAATAATATTCCACTGCACATTTATGCACATTTTGCTTATCTGTCGTTTCTTTGATAGACACTTGGATTGCCTCCGTGTTTTAGCTATTGTGAATAATGCTAGAGCTCACAAATCTGTATTTAATCACTCAGCTATTCCTATCAGGGCCTATTTATAGAGGAGCCACATTACTCATGTCTCAGCAAAGAACTTGTGAAAAATCTTTGCCCTCACTGATCTCGTGACACTTCCCAGGCACTCAGAATTCAAGATCCTTTGTGGTTTGGTGTTAGTTACATCACCCGCTCTAATTTAAATTGCTGTTTCAGAAAGTATGACTTAGATATATCATAATATAGAGATATATATAGATATATATATGGACACACACATGCATTTCTGTCCCTGATACCATGTGAGAAAGCTGTGGGGGTGTTTGTGGAGGATGGCTTTAAAAACAGAATTGAGGTTTCTCTCTTCCTTTCTTTTTTAAATTTTCCATTTTCCACTGTGATCCTTAGGATTTTTAAGTGTCAGTGATTACAAATATGTAACAATGAGAGATTGGATTTTCATTCTAAAGGGCATACCATTTTGGATATTGTAGATTTCTGGAAGACATATTTGTCCCTGTTGTTCCTTCCCGGTCTTTTCACTTTTCAGGAACAAGTTATTTAAAAACAAAAAAGATGATGACATATATATTTAGATAGAGCTTAGGCAAAAATAATTCCCTGACCCCTGAATTCTATTGGCTTATAAGGGGAGCAACGTGGTCTGGTTGAAACCACTGTGTTGGAAACCCTGAGGCTTGCCTTTTGCTCCTAGTTATGCAACTAAGCGATCTTAGGCAAGTCACTTCACCTCTGTTTCCCCATCTGTTTGGTGAAGTAGGTTGGATGCACTCCAGGGTCCCTGTGCATGTGGAAAATCGCCTGAAGTAAAGCAAAGGACAGGCCCCTGCCATACGGAAAGCACTTCCCGAGCTCCCCACAGCTCTCACCATGGAGTCCCAACTCCTTATCACGGCCTACAGGGTTTTCGTGATCTGGCGGCTACCTCTCCTGTCTCTTCTGCTGTGAACAAGCTTGCTATGCTTCAGCTAACAGGAACCTTTTAGTTCCCCAAATTTGCTGTCTTCTCTCTTGCGTTTGGCCTTTGCACAAGTTGGGCATTTTGCTTGGAATTTGTCTGTCCTCGTGTCCCTCCCCTTCCACCCTTTCTCTAGTTTGCTGCCTGACTTCTATTCATCCTTCTTGTATCCACTTAGATGTCTCTTCCTCCATGATCCCTCCACATCTGGGTTAGGTTAGGGTTAGTCGCCTATGCTCCCCTAGCCCCTGGGCTTTCTCTATCATACCGCGTGTTATGCTGTGTTGTAATTGGTTATATACTTGCTTGCATACCACCATGAGAGCATAAAAATCTAAGAAAGCAGGGATGTCTCTGTCTTGTTCCCCGTTGTATCCTCAGAGACTAGTACCAAATAGAAGTTCAGTAAAAAATGTGTTGAATGAATAATCAAAAATGAAATCTTAGGGGCCATTCCGGTGGCGCAGCAGTTAAGTGAGCACTTTCCACTTCCGTGGTCCGGGGTTCGCCAGTTTGGATCCCAGGTGTGGACATCGCACAGCTTGGCAAGTCATGCTGTGGTAGGTGACCCACATATAGAGGAAGATGGGCATGGATGTTAGCTCAGGGCCAGTCTTCCTCAGCAAAAAGAGGAGGATTGGCAGCAGATGTTAGCTCAGGGCTAATCTTCCTCAAAAAAAAAAAAATAGAAAGAAATCTTAGCTTGTGCGTTTCCAGGGAAATTTGTTGCTGTCTGTCTACTGCCTTCAGATTTCCTTCATGTCCAACCCCAGGCTGCACCATCAGCAATAAGAGGATTGAAGCTAGAGGTGAGAATTGCTTTGCCTGTTGCAAAGCTGTGGCCCATGCAATGTGGGTTCCATGTTTGACAATATTGCCTTGTTTTTAGAAAAGCCTCAAGTCGCTTAGGACGTCTAGGTCTCTATTTAAAATCCATCGGCAAACCCTGCTTCAATAGAAACCAACAGTGGAGGATCTAGAATGGGCATGAGAATTGGTTCTGGAGAGAGAAAACACAAATACTAATATTAATAATAATGGCTAACATTTACCAAGTGCATTATCTCATTTAACATTCACAATTATCATGTGAGGAAAATATAATTGTTAGCCCCATTTTGCAATTGAGGAAACTAAGGCAGGCTAAATAACTTGCCCAAGTGCAACCAAAACTTATGCTTTTAACCAAAATCACACACAGCCTCATTTCCCCCCCTCCCAAACGGAATCCACGTATTCATTAAAACACCACCTTATTCTAAAAGCATATTTATGCAAGTTACATGGATGCATTACATTAAAAAAATTTTGAATTAGGAATAAATTTTTTAAAAGAAAGGAGGAAAAGGGTATGAGTTGGAAAGAAAAATTTTTTAAAAATCCCTCTGTGCTGTGGGTTCCCTACAATAGGCTCACACATTTGGTTTGTGTAGTTAACATTTGTGTAGTTAGCAGGAAAAGAGAAACTTGATGGTCAGTTACCCAATTTATTATTGCTTAGATAAAACCTGACCATTACTCAAAATTGCCTCATTTTATAGGTGAAACAACTGAGGCCAAAAAAGAAGGGTTGCCCAAGGTGACTGAAGCCAGACCGAGGACTTTCCATAGGAAACTGGGTTGCTTATTTCCTTCTTTGAATCTGAAATAATTTGTTAAAGCATATATTTCTAAACTAACATTTATTGGATGTTTATTTGGGACCAGCCTCTATGCTAAGCACTTTATGTGGATGGCTCCTTTAATCCTCACAAAATCCTAAGAAGTAGCCCTCTTATTTTATAGGTAAAATATTGTGGATTTTGGGGCCTGGCCCAGCGGCATAGTGGTTAAATTCATGCTCTCCACTTCGGCAGCCTGGGGTTTGCTGGTTCGGATCCCAGGCATGGACCTACACACAGCTCATCAAGCCATGCTGTGGCAGCGGCCTGCATATAAAGTAGAGGAAGATGGGCACAGATGGTATTAGCTCAGGGCTAACCTTCCTCAAAAAAAAAAAAAATTGAAGACTTTTTGTGGCTGAAACACTGCAGCTCTATCCTGGGCCATTTGGAAACCCATTCCTTCCCTTCTCTGCTGTCTTTCCCTCACTTTGCTCATTTCCCACAACTTCTGGAGAGCTGGCCTCCCTTGAAGGTCAGATCTTTTACACACAGCTTGATGGCAAGTAACATTTCATCTTTATTTAAACAAATATTATTTACGAGAATTCTGAAAAAGAACTGGTAAAGAGGGTCTGAGCATATTCTGAACTGGATTGGGAATCAACAACATAGCCGAGGTGAGTGCTGCTGTATTCTCAGAGGCTAGCATGAGTGGGCCTATAATGCGCCCCATGGAACAGCTGGGAGCATGGAATTCGGGAACAGACAGGTCTGGCTTCAAGCCCCCATTCTGCCATTACTAATTGTGGGACCGTGAATGATTTCTCTAATTTACTGAGCCCTGCACTGCTCATCTGTAAAAGTAAGATGATCATAATTGTACCTATCCCTTGGGTTCCTGGGAGGATTAAATGAAAGGGTAAATGCAACACACTAAGCTGAGTCTGGTACATTGTTAAGTGTGCAAAAATGGGATCGTTTATTATTATTATTATTGTTGTTATTATTAACATGGCTTGAATTTTGATGTGATCTCTAGGAAGAAGGTATGAGCCTTAGAGTAAGATCTGAGTTCTAATCTCACTTGTGTTACGTAGCTCTAGAACGTCAGGCATGCTCTCTGTGCATCACTTCCCTTTTCTTCAAGTGAGACCTCCGGCCCCAATGTCCATCCCAAAGCTACTGTAGAAATCCAACGTCATCTTGGATGGGAAAGTACTTTGAGATACAAAACAGAAAAACAAGTGAATGTATAGCTTTTCTCAGCTTATGGACACTTGTACTTACAATCAGTTTGAGAAAATGAAAAGGGACAAGAAATTCCTTAGTAGCTCTAGACAGGTGTAGAGCAATTAGGTGGAGGTGAACCTAGAAGGTGAGGAATCAGAATCCACTTGACTCTTTCAACTAATTCCCCTATGAATGTGGTCAGTGCCTGCTGGCTTTGAGCCTCAAGGCTCCCAGTCCTAACATAAAAATAATGCAATGGAAGTAGGTGGAATAAGATGTGTTTTTATGCATGCCCGTTTCTCTGCCTGAAATGTCTTTCCAGACCTTCTCCTTCTTGGGAACTCCTATTTACCTTTCAAGACACAGGTCAAACGTCACTTCCTCTGTGAAGCCCTCCTTGATCCCTTGTGTATTTTCACCTCTTTCTCTGTGCTCTCACTGTATTGTGACCACCGCTCCATCAGATAACCTACACCATTCTTTTGTAATCACAGTTGATTCTCATTATTTGGTGGTTATGTTTTATAAAGTCACCATGAACACAGAATTAGTGAATGCTGAACCACTGCTCCCAGGGGAGATACAGGGTTAGGTTCCTGTGAGCCTCTGGTCACAAAATTTTCATCAACGATCAGTACATAACCTTGTTTTATGCACATTTCTGTTCAAAGACACCTTATTTAATATATATCGTTAACTCCGTAACATTGAACTCACAGTCAACAGCACTATGACTTGTGCCTGAGTGAAACTTATCTAACACACATATTTTCCTCGTAAGGCACATCACAGCCTGCTTGCACTTAGGAACACTAGACAGCACTTCAGCACTATGCTTGAGGGCCATTTTAAATAGCAAAATGACCAGTGAAAAGTACACAAGTGCAAAAGATGTGGCACTAAATACACCATGAAAAGGACACTTGTTTACAGTATGAGAGCTGAAGCAAGAAGGCAGACCATCGCCTTGTTCAACCTTAACTGAGAATGTGTGTGTAGAATGACTCAAATTTTTCACTGCTCTGGGCCTGAACATATCATGAAATGACTGGGAAAGGGCTGCAAATCTTGATTTGGTGGTTACAAATAAATTTGAGTGAGTAGACAAAATTTGCAAATGTGGAATCTGCAAGAATGAGGATAAGCTGTATTTGTTTATGTGTTGGACTTTTTTACTACTTGAGAGTGTCTTACAGGAAGGGTTGATGTCTGTGCTGGACATCTTCTCTTTGCTCTTCCAGATCCACTCCACTCTTCTCACCCTGCTCTCTGGCCCTGGAGACTGACCTCTGTGGACTACCCTACTAGGGCTTCCTTGTTCTCTGGCCAACAAGAAGCCCCAGCAGTTGATGGGGGGACGGGAAGAGAGTGTGGTCAGCATATTTATTCCTCTGGTTTCCTTCTTGTGATGCTGCCTTGGGCTCCCTCTGTCCCTCACTAAAGGTCCTCTCCTCTCAAGTCAACCTTCTCCAGGTGACTTTCTGCTTCCACATTCAAAATGACCCCTCCCTGTCCTCATCTTTTCAGGACTGTGGGTGGTAACTGCGCCTTGGCTGTTATTTTCCTCTGTACTACCTCCTGTGGCTCTCCTAAACCTGATGCACACTGTTTTAAACAGTCCTTTTGTAAATAAGCCCTCCTTGAATTATCCTAATTTGAGTGTGATGTGTTTGGTCCCTAACTGCCAAGGTATCTTCTTCATCTATGTACCTAACACAGTGTCAAGCAATGGCAGGCAAATGGTAACTATTCATAAAATAAATAAGTCATCTCTGAAACTCCTTCTAACAGTATTTCTATGATTCTGTTATCTCACAAGCCAACTACACATCATGCCTTGGGGAGAATCTCAAAGTCATTGAAGACACACTCATACACATAAACGTGCACACACATGCACCCACACTGATACACACATGCACTCAAACATACACACACATTGCTGTTGCCAAGGGGTGGCTTTGGGGAGAGGGCTTTAGTGCACCAAATTTCCGGTACCTGCCTCAAAGCCACGGCAAATAAATATATAGTCTACGTAAAAACATGTGCCTTCTGTGCGAATGCAGCTTGACCTCCAACCCTCTCTGATCAGATCGCCTTTCTGAGCCCCTCTAACCAGGAAATGCGCAGCTCCCTCTGCACATGCTGACACACAGACACACTGCCCACCTTGCCGAAAGGGGTATGTTCTGTCTCTTCCTCAGAGTGGTGGACTTGTGTATTGGGAGATTCCAGGGAGAGTAGGGTCTGCAGGATGAATCCTCTAAAAAGCGAAGCTGTTCATCCAGTCCATTTTAGAAGTTTCCTATCTGGATCATTTGTCAGTGGGAGTAAAGCCCAGAGGTGAGTCCCACAAAGGACCATGTGGAAGCCACAAGCTTTCTTACCAGTACCTAGTGGTCCTCTGGTGCATGAACAGGCTCCTACCGTGGACGCGGGCATTGATAAACTGAAAGGTACAGGGAGAACTCAACACGCCGAAACTGTAATAATCCTTTTATTTCACCAGGATTTTAAGAGGGAAGGGAACAGCTATTCATTGCTGTCCAACTGTGACTGAAGAACTCAGAATTACAATTTCCACGTCACCCACACAGCAGATGACAGTGAATGAATATGAACAATAATTTGGTACTAGGAGCAAAGCAAAAATCATCTCCAAATTGGTTTCTCTTCCCCCAGCTTCATCTCTCTCAAATCCACTCACCACACTGCAGCCAGAGTATATTTTTAAACGCACATTTGACCTTCTCCCCTTGCTCAATGACATCTTTTCTGTCTATAGGTACAGTTCAAACTTTTTTTGTCTTTTAAAACATTATCCTTGCCTGGATTTATAGCCTCAGTTTCAATTTGCCTAGTCCTATCATCCTCACTCTTGTCCAGACCACACACACACACACACGCGCGCGCGCGCGCGCACGCACGCACCCCTTGTGCTGTAGCAATGGCAAACTGATAATTGCTTCCCAATACATTGTTTCCTTTCTCCCTCTACCTGGAAAGTATTTCTCTTATTTCTGTCCACTTGCTTAGCAAAAATAAATAAATAAATCCAAACATAATTCATCTTCAAAACTGAGTCAGACATTGTTTTCCACGGCAGTGCTTCCCAAACTTTAATATGCATATGATCACCTGTGGATCTTGTTAAAAGGCAGATTCTCATTCAGTGGGTCTCAGGGTGAAGCCAGAGAATATGCATTTGTCACAAGCTGGTCATACTGCTGTTGCTGGACCATGGACCACACTATGAGTAGCAAGGTTCTAGGAAGTTTCCCCTGACGGTACCTTTCCCCTGATGGTAACTTTCCCCTGATGGTACCCTTCCCCTGACAGATTCCATCACTTTTTTCTGAGCTCTTCTCTTCTTTGACCATACTTCTGTTGTTGCTCTAATTGCTCTAAGAATCCTTGTTTATATGTCTGCCTTCCCAACCATACCTGGAGATTCTTGAAAAAGCCCTTTTCATCTTTGTTTTTGCAGCACTCAGCCCAGCGGATCATAGAAAAGTCAGAAGCATTTGATGTTTACTTGTTGAACAAATGTTGTCGAAGGATATATAGTCTTCACTTGTCTGTGGAACAGGAAACCATGTAACCATTTTTACTTAAGGAAAATTTTTGGTTGTTTGACATTTGGATAAATATGGAACCCAGGCCATATATAGCATTTTTATGAAAATATACAGCTTTATTTGCTACACCCAACCTTTAACTTCGTGTGCTTTACAAAGGGTAAAGGATATTGGTAACATTTTTAATGTGAACACTAGCAATGACTGTACACTAATAAATATTCAATCTATCCAAATATAAATACATAGTCTCAAAAGGTACAAAATGCAAAATCTATAAAACCCAAATAGAACCAAAACCTTGTATAAGGGAATTCCCTGTGACCACATGGCACCATTTTCATGTGAGAGGAAAAAAAAACAGGCAGGAAGCCCATTTTGCAGGATATGACACTGGGAGGTTAACTATCCTCACATGTTGGGTTATGGCCCCAACAAATCTGAGCTTGAACGAGATAATATCATGTAAGGGGAATTTTCTAAACCAGACCATAGAAATCAGTCAATTCCCATGTTTTCCTTCCAGGCTGGATGTTCCAGAAATTATCTCTAATTAAGGGTTCCAAAAGAGAATGTACAAAATGTGTGAAAGTAAATAACGATGATTTTGGATAAGTTGAATAAAATCATCTTCTGGATGTTAGAGTTTTATCTTGAGGCTCCCAGTTTCACAATAATCATAGTTAAAAGTTATACATCTGAATCTCCAGCCCGTCAAAATGTCACATGATTTAGAGAGAGCCAATTGCATCACCATCCAGTAATTCCTCTAAAAGTTTTACCTGAATACTGTGGGAAAATTAAATCTCTCTTACATCAGGGAATACCCTTGCCCACAAAGTGTTCAAGAAGACTGCAGCCAACTCAAAGTTGGAATGATAATTAAAGGAAGCATTTATATGCTGCAGAAGAATCTTTTAAAGCTGCTTTGAAGCTCACCTATAAATGGCTTCATGCAACATGACTCTCATGGGTTGGGTGAATCAAAGGCTTGATTAACTGAGTAACTCCAAAGTCATTAACTCTGACCAAGGTGAGAATACCGACGAAGAAAAAGAAGATGCTATTCAAGTTGGAGGGCCACACCCCCAACCATAGGTGTCTACGCAGGAGTGACATTACTCGCTGCTGATGCTATGTTGAAGTCTTTACTGGCTTTCTGTCTTTTCCCTCTGCTGTATTTATCTCCTCTGCAATTCCTTTCATTCCCAGTAGGAGACAGTGTTGAGTAGGAATAAAGAAACTGCATTGGAGTCAAACAGATGTGAGCTGGAATCCTGGCTCTACATTGCCCTGCTCTGCCACTTCTGGCAGGTGTCCTGGCTTTTTAAAGCCTCAGTTCCATCATTCGTAAAATGGAAATAATACTACTATCTCATGGGGTTGATGTGAACTCAGGGTGAACTGAGATTCTACAGGTAAGCCTTGTAGCTCAGTACATATTCACTTTGCATATTTAAGCGCTCAGCCAACAGTAGGCATCTTTGTGTACCTTGGAAGCACGCAACTCAGTGCCTGACTCAGTTTCCATCCAGATAGTTTGAGCAAGAACAGACCCCTTGTTCTTCTCCTAGAATTGTGGGAGGCTTCAAAGCCTCAACCTTGAAGTTGCAAAACTCTTGAGCTTAAAAAGCTTCAATTTCTCTGCAAGGCCACACTGCCCAACATAATGCTGCCCTCTGCTGATGAGGGTGGAATAGTGCAGAGAGGGGACTGATTCCTGGAGGCCACAAAAACCAAGAACGGAGTCCTTAGTCAGTCAGTGTTCAGAAGTAATCATTCCTCCCAGGATGCCTGCAGAGGCCTTCAGTGCAGAAGGGGAGGCATAGTCACCTGCCTGGCTCGGTACTAACGGTGAGCATCAGAGTGGTGACAATGTAAGGCCTTTCTTTGTACCAGTAGGTACCCCACCATCAGATGCCCTCTTCTTGCCCAGGTACCACATACCCAGAGCTCCAACCATGGGCTTAGAATTGTTCATCCCAGTTCATTATGCTCCCTTCAAGGAGAGAGGTGGCAGTGCACTCTACGAGTAAAACCTCAGAAAGCTGCTTCTCAGAATATCCGGCCTCTGGTGTGAGCCGTTGTCCCATCATCCTCTATGGCAGGAAGCTGTGGCTGACAGCATCTCAGTGGCAGAGCTCACTCCTTCTGACCTTAATTAGCTCACCAGTTCTCCTCGAAAAAAAGTCATGCTCCTCATTCCTCTTCCCCCGTATCCTGGGGTTCCGTATTGTCAGGCTAAGTAAAATGTCCTTTGACCATAAACTTTAGATCCATGTTTAAAGTACCAATAAAAATAATAATCGGGGGTCAAACCCCCGTCTCTCCTTTTCGCTAAGAAGAAGTGCAAGAAGTGTTGCCTGAAAGCTGTCAGATAGAGGTTTGTGCACCACAAGAGATAAGAGGCTGAAGGGAGGGTAGAGACATCGCCGCTGGTCTGGCCCCACTCCCAGTTCAGCGGCTGAACCTCCTGCCTGTGGCCCGGTGCCAGCCTCTGTCAGGGTGCTGCCTCCATGGCAGCTCAGGGACTGGGGTGATAGGCCAGCTGTCTCTGGGGAGTCCTGGGCTGGTGGCAGCCATTAATGCTCTATGGAAGGAGGGCCTCCCTCCCCCACGCAGGATCTGCAGCCCATGGCTTGCCATTGAGTTTCTGCTAAAGTCCTGATTCTGCAATTTCAGACAGTTGACTCAAGAGTCTGGAGAAGGGTGGTCGGTCTTCTGGTTTCTAGAGAAGGAAGAAAAGAACTCTGTGAGTTCCTTGTACTTGTATGCCACAGCTAAATCCAAAGCAAGCCAGAATTCAATAGCAATAGCCCCTGCTGATTTTTAAATATGCTTCCATATATATTGTATTTGAGGCCATTATGTCTTGTTGTTGGCAGCAGCTTTTCTGGAATCAGATGGCCTGCTTTTGAATCTCAGCTTTACCACTCATTAGCTATGTGACCTTGAGCAGGTTATTTAACCTCTTTGAACCTCAGTTTGCCATCTGTAAAATGCAGATAATAATAGTATCTACATCATAAGATTGTTGTGAGAATTGAATAAAATCATGTATAAAAATGCATCATAAAATAAGTGCTATATAACACCAAAAAAAGAAAATATTTAGGTATAAATCTAGGAAATTATACACAGGATCTATATTAGGGAAAATATAAAATTCTAATGAAAGAAATCAAGAAGATCTATATAAATGGAGAAATATTCTACATTTGTGGATAGAAAGACTCTGTATTGTTAAGATATCAATTATTTCCAACCTGATCTATAGACTCAACACAATCATGATAAAAATCCCAGCAAGTTATTTTGTAGACATTAACGTACTGACTCTAAACTATATATGGAAAGGCAAAAGACTCAGAATAGGCAACACAATACTGAAGAACAAAGTCAGAAAGCTGACACTGCCTATAAAGCTGTTTATAAAGCTATAAAGCTGTATATAAAGCTTGATTACTATAAAGCTACAGTAATCAAGACAGTGTGGTATTGGTGAAAGAACAGACAAATAAATCAATGGAACAGAATAGAGCCCGTAAATAAACCCATATAAGTAAAGTCAGCTGATCTTTGACAAAGGAGCAAAATCAATAGAGAAAGGGTAGTCTTTTCAACAAATGGTGCCGGAACAATTGGACATCTATATGCAAAACAATGACTCTAGACACAGACCTTAAACCCTTCACAAAAATTAAATCAAAATGGATCATAGACCTAAATGTAAAATGCAAACTATAAGACTTCTAGAAGATAGCATAGGGGAAAATCTGGGTGACCCTGGGTTTGGCAATGAGTTTTTAGATACAACACTGAAAGCGCAATTCATGAAAGAAAAAATTGATATTGAATTTCGTCAAAACTGAAAACTTCTGCTCTGCAAAGACATTGTTAAGAAAATGAAATGACAAGCCATAGGCTGGGAGAAAATATTTTCAAAACACATAAGTGATAAAGGACTTATATCCAAAATATACAAGACCTCTTAAAACTCAACAGCAAGAAAACAAATAAACCAATTAAATAAACCTAATTAAGGCCAAAGATCTGATCAGACACCTGATTAAAGAAGATATACAAATGGCAAATAAGCAGGAGAAAAGGTGCTCAACATCATATGTCTTTAGGGAGTTGCAAATTAAAATTAAAACAGCAATGAGATACCACTACACGCCTGTTAGAATGGCTAAAATCTGAAACACTGACACCACCAAATGCTGGTGAGGATGCAGAGCAACAGGAACTCTCATTGCTGATGGGAATACAAAATGGTACAGCCGCTTCAGAAGACAATCTCGCAGCTTCTTACAAAGCTAAACACAGTGTTACCATCTGATCCAGTAATCACACTTAAGTATTTACCCAATTGAGCAGAAAATTTACATCCATACAAAAACCTGCACACAAATGTTTATAGCAGCTTTATTCATAATTGCCAAAAACTGCAAGCAACCAAGATGTCCTTCAGTAGGTGAATGAATAAACAAACTGTGGTATATCCATACAATAGAATATTATTCGGTGATAAAAAGAAATGGGATATAAAGCCATGAAAAGACATGGAGGGATCCTAAATGCATAGTGCTAAGTGAAAGGAGCTAATCTGAAAAGGCTACTCACTGTATGATTCCAGCAATATGACATTCTGGAAAGGGCAAAACTTGGGCCATAAAAAGATCAAGTTTCCAGGGGTTTGGAGAGAAGGAGGAAAGGATAATTAGGTGAAGCATGGTGGATTTTAGGGCAGTGAAACTCTTCTGTATGATACAATAATGGTAGATACATGATATCATACGTTTGTTAAGACTCATAGAACTATACAACGCAGGAAGTGAACCTTAATGTAAACTATAGACATGAGTTAATAACAATGTATCCATAGTGGTTGACAATTGGAGTAAATATCTCACACTAATGCAAAATGTTATTAGTAGGGGAGGAGGGTATATTGGAACTCTCTGTACCATTTGCTCAATTTTTCTGTAAATCTAAAATTTCTAAACAATAAAGTCTATTATTTCAAAAAACAAAAAAAGTTAAAAAAGAAAAATGTGCTAAATAAATGTCAGCTATCATTATTATTACTATTGGATTTAATTCTTGCGAAGAGGATTGGATTTGTTTTGTGCCTTTACATCTTTATTGTTTGTTTTTCTGTGTCTGATTATAAAAGATCTATGAACTTACAGATAAGCATTATTTAATTCCCTTACCAGTAAGAGAAAAGAGGTTCAGAAAATTGTGCAAGGTCAATGACTAAAATGGCAAAGTTGAGACAAAACCCAAGCATCCTGTATTTTTTCAATTCCACCATGTTACCCCTCAATGATCTGAATTTGTATTGTTATTTCAGGAACTTCTGACTTTCATTGAAATTTACAATGTTCTGACTCACCAAAGGACATCTAAGACCTGTGCTGTTGTGACTCAAGGCACAGCCTGTAATCCAAACATGGGATAACTGAGACGTCTGGGGTGGGGGTACAGACTCATTGGCTCCCCATTCTGAATTGTTGCATGAATAAAATGAACTTTAATTAAATCATTTTCGTATTTTCACAGTCTAAGTGAACTTTATGAACGTTTAATGGTTCTTTGATGATACAGATTTTTTTTCCTCAGAAAATTAACATCTTGACGTATAGATAGATAAAACACACCCCCTCTTCCTCTCTGACAGTATGCTTATGGTTTTTGACATTATGTAGCAAATCAAATAATATTTAAGGTCACTGCCAGCTCTTTTCAGGATGGGGGACCTCTCTAGTTAATAGATGCTCAAAGTCACCTTCCTGCTTATCTATTTTAGTCATCCCTGCTGTCTCGTCCTCTAAGAGAGTTCCTTTCTCTAGGAAAGAGGGCAGACCCTGAAGTCATAGATTATAACTCGGGGAAACCACTTCCTATACTGACCTCTTTCCAGCAATGATTCATGATTTGGTAGATATGTGAGGAGGCTAATCGGGGTTTGTATAACCGAAATCCGGTAGTGATGTCTTCCACCACCTCTGAGTTGCTTCTGTTTTCATACGGGATTTTGCCTTCACTGAAGACTTCCCACATCAGCACACCTACAAGAAATGGTGAGTACAGCACAGCTTATGATAAAGTTCAAAAATAGCAAATAAACAAACTTATGTCTAGAAATCACAGATTCCTTGGCATTAGGATTCAAGTCCCTACCCCCAGGAAGTACAGTATCAGGACACCTGTGGCTTGTTACGCTTGTCCTATTTCTAAAGAAGTGAGATTTCCCAACCTTCCCAGTGGTGAAGAACTTTCAGGCTCAGCCCTTTGTTATACCTAACTCAAATGTTACTACGAAAAGTTGCACAGGACGTGAACTCTAATGTCTACACATGATGTAAATGAATGGAGTGGATGAGGTGGGCTGTAATAGGGACTAGTGAGGACTGTGGAAAACTGGAGGTCAAAAGTTCTGTCTTGAGGGGACAGCTGTGATTTGGCTCCAGCCAATGTATGGCACATGAGAATGAGGGCTCAGGATTGCCACATTTTCTGATTTTTAGAAAGAAGTCATAAATTGAGAGTTTTAAAATATACACTCAATTTGATTTTTAAAAATACTATTTAGACCAAGCAAACACGTCTTCAGGTTGTCCATTTTTGACCTCTGATTTAATCTCTTCCTCTTCCGCCCTCATAGAAATGTCACACCCGGCTTTGTTGTGTGCTGATATATTAATAGGATGTCAGAGTGGGAACAGAGCTTGCAGATCACCTAACCTAGTGGTTTTCAAAGCATATTTCAGAGAACCTTAGGGCAGAGATTCCAAAAGGATGAGCCCTACACATCTGAGTAAAAATCACCTCAGAAGTTTGTTCAAATGGCAGATCCTAGGCTCCAGCCCCGACCTCGGGATCAGAATTTCTGCTCAAACCTGGTTTGAAAACAATTGCCTTAATACAAACCTTGTAATGCATTGATGAGAAACTGAGTCAGGCCAAAAGAGGTTACTTCACTTGCTTAAAGTAGCTCAGCTAATTAGGGCAAAAACCTTAAAATGCATGACCAAGTCCAGTGGCCTTGAGGCAGGCGCCGATCTCTCGGACCATTGGACTTTCTATTTCTCCGGTTGCCACACCAGATTTCTCACCCTTTCTTCATGGAACCCTTTCTACTATGCTTCCATCAGTCAATCTTATCTCTGGATTCTTCAAATGATACATCCTAGGCAGGGGCAGACTTTAGCCCAACCCTCTAATTGTAGGATGCTGCGGAAAATTCCCAGGTTGACAACCTGTGGCAGAATAAACCACATTCAGAGTCAGCAGGTGAATGTGCCAGAGTGGCCACGGCTGCAAACGTCTCTTTACGGGCTGGGTTCCAGGTGCCCAGCTGCATCACCTGCAGGGCTGCACATCAGCCCTACCCTTCCTGGTCATGCGCACTGGGGAAAGGAGAAGCTTCGGAGAACGCTTCAGTGCACTTAGATTTCTTCCAAGTTCACTCCGTAACTTAAATTTGGCTAACAAAGTCATAGGTGGGCCTGTATAACGGGGGAGCTGTTTCAAGGAACAGTTCAGAAGCACTCATGATTAGCAAACCACTTGGTTATTGGAAATGGATATTCTAAAATGCTGGAGAAGACTTTAAAATCAGTCCTGCTCCTAAGAGACTTAGCTTCTCCCTGGTTTCTACTACTAGTCAATATACTTGGCAAATCTTCCTTCAGACAGAATAGCCAAACCAAACTCCAACCCATTCCTGTCCAAAGCATCATCCTTCTTGTAATCCAAATCAAAGAGGGAGGTAGTGCACACAAACTATGGCTCAGGATGACATGACAAATCCAGCAAGAATATTTAGTACTAGCTGCCACACCAGCATCATTCTGTCTTTCATTTGTGCCCATTTTCATTTCTAATTAGAATTAGAAATTCTAATTCCTTATCACGGCCTGTGGACTTCACTGCCTCCTGTTCTCCCACTAAATCACTCTCCTTCTTTTTCTTTGGACACACCAAGCTTTGAACTTGCAGGTTCCTCTGTCAGGGACACTGTTCCTTGGATCTTTGAATGGGGACAGTTCCTTCTCCAGCTGAACACAGATCCAGGCCCAATGGGAGCCACAAGGCAGGATTCTCTTGTATGGAGCCCACGGTTGCTTTTGGGTGCAATCGGCAAAGGGGAAAAAGGTCATTCATCATTCAGGTCTCTGCTCAAGAGTCACTTCCTCAGAGAGACCTTCCCAGATCATGCTGTTTAAAATAGACCCACCTTCCATCCTAGTCACTCTGTATCCCATTACTGTTTTGTTATATTCATAGCACTTACTTATCACCACCTGACGTTATCATATACACATATCAGTTAGGTTGTTTGCATGATTGTTGTCTGTCTCTCCTCCTCCCTAAAATTTAGCTCCAAGAGAATAGGAGTCTTTTCTATCCTATGCACCACTGCGTTATAAGCACCTAGATTAGCCACTGGCATGTAGTAGATGCTCAATAAATTGTTGTTGAATGAATGAGAAAAACATTTATTGAGGGTTAAGTGTGGGAATATTGGAAAAAACGTGGTCTCTTTCCTCAAGGAACTCATATTCCAATCTCCTGACTCCTCTAACTTTCGATCTCACAGCAGCTGTCACCATAATCCTTTTTCCACTTTTATTTTTACCCCCTATTTCAAAGATCTCCAGGAACAAATACAACAATGAGTCCCCTTCACACTTTTCAGGGCTGCTCTTACACACAGAGTCTCAGTGTCATGCCCTTATCATCCAGTGTTCAGGGCAAGTAGGGTTGCCTGAATCCAACAAATAAAAAGGCGGGCCCACAGTCCCAGATCACGTGGGTGTGGTGCCAGAATGACACTCACCAAATGACCACACATCTGACTTGCTGCTATAGCGATTGAAAGAGAAGACTTCCGGGGATGCCCACTTCACCGGGAATTTGGTGCCTGTGGAACAGGTGTATTGATCATCAAGGACGAACCTGGGGAGAGAGCGGGGGGAGAACATCAGCATGTTCTGGAGGCCTGAGTCCCATTCCTGACACTTTGCTGGCACCACATTCCCCTATTACCTTGTCATCCCAAAGTCGGACACCTTGATGACTTGGTTTTCTCCCACTAAACAATTCCGGGCAGCCTGGAGAGGAGACAGGCGAACAACAGGGAAAAGATAACTGTGGGCGGAGAATCAGAAATTAAGGAGTCTCCTATAATCACGTGCTTTGCTTTTCAATGTGCTTCGTACAAGGGCATGGGGAGCTTTACAGCTGCTATTTAAGCTGCACTAGCACCTGTTGGAAGCCAGAAAGCTGAATGTGTAAGATCCTTTATCAGGATGAGTGAGTTTGGTCTTTTATCTTCATTCCTGGGACCCTAATTAGAAGAGAAATTCATGGTGTTGTCTAACCAACGACATGCTCGAAAGCATCCTGATGTGATAGGATATGTTAACTTTAGAGATGATGTGAAGAAGCCGTCGCCCATTTGACTAAAACAAGAATGTTTTGAGATTGCTAATCCTCTTAAAACTATTCTTTGATTGGGCCAGCCAGGTGGCTCAGCAGTTAAGTGTGCACATTCTGCTTCTCGGCGGGCCGGGGTTCGCCAGTTCAGATCCCGGGTGCGGACATGGCACCGCTTGGCAAGCCATGCTGTGGTAGGTGTCCCACATATAAAGTAGAGGAAGATGGGCACGGATGTTAGCTCAGGGCCAGTCTTCCTCAGCAAAAAGAGGAGGATTGGCAGCAGATGTTAGCTCAGGGCTAATCTTCCTCAAAAAACAAAACAAACAAACAAACAAACAAACCAAAAAAACACAAACTACTCCTCGATAGCGAGAGTATCTGGTCCCCAGTTAATATCACAGAATGTTGCATCGGAAGAACCCTTGGTAACAAAAGACTGCAGAGCGTCTCAAATTTTAATGTGCCCACAACCACATGGGGGACATTTAAAAATGAATATTTCTGCGCCCCAATCCCCAGAGATTCTAGGATGGTTTTAGGACCATCCCAATGTGAATCTGGTAGATCCCTGGATAACATTTTGAGAAAAATTGTCCATTTCCCTCATTTTACCAGGAGGAAACTGAGGCACAAAGAGGTTAAGAAGGAGAGGCTGTTAGCTTCATTTTGGAAGAATGTACACCGAAACTCAGAAAGCGAAAGTTAGAGGCAGGGCTGAGGTTAGAGCCGAGATCTGAGTCCTCATGAAGCACTTTCCCACTAGGACATCCCGGAGTGGGTGGAGGAAGGAAGACATTGAGATGGGAAGGGCGACGGCCTGTGACTTATTATTATTGATTAATGCATTCCTAGCCTTGGTAGCTCTACATTTCAGTGGGTCATGCCCCTTCATCCTGGACCTGTCGCTGTTTGCCCCTCTCCCTCTTACCAGGTCTCTGTGGATGACGCACACCTTTTCCAGGTAGGCCATGCCCTCACACACATCAAGGCACATGCCCAGCAGGGTCTCTGCAGCAAAGAGCCCCCGCTGGTTGCGCAGGTAATCCGACAGGCAGCCGTGTTCCATGAACTCAAACACCAGGCAGATAGGGGCCTGCTCCAGGCACACCCCATAGAGCTGGACCAGTTTGGGGTGAGAGAGTTTCCTGGAGGAAAAAGGCAAGGGGTGAGGTGGCCTAAACTCAGCCTCCCAAAAATGCACCCCCTGCCCAAAACAAAAACGTGCCATTTGAGCCTAGACCTAAAGTATGGCAGGGAGTCACTTGCTGTGTATGAGGACAGATGGAGGCCAGTATGGCTGTCATGTCATGGACCTGAGGAGAAATGGGCAGGAGATGAGTTTGGGGAGTGGGCAGGGCCAGACCGTGGTGAGTCTTACAGACCATGGTGAGGAGTTTGATTTTATTCTCTGTGCCATAGGAAACCAACACTGGATTTGAGCAGGTACAATGTGGCATCAGAGCGGTATTTAAAGAACACAGCACAGAACATCCTCCCCAAGGCATCTTCACGCATCCTTGTTTTGACCACTCACATCATGACTTCAGCCTCCTCTATGAAATCCTCCTCCGACATAGCCCCTTCCTGAATGGTTTTGATGGCAACCTTGTCCTTGTTGAGCCAGTAGCCGAGGTGCACCAGCCCAAACTGCCCGCTGCCAATCTCCTGCACAAAAGTGAGCTCCGAGGGATCGATCACCCATTTGCCTGGAAGAGAGAGAGGGATTTGCACGGTTGCTAAGCAGTAGATATGAGGTAGAGGGCAGCGAGGAGACTGTGTGGCCTTATGTAGAATGTTAGCCTATTGTTACTATCACCCAAAGATGGCAAATGGTATAAGCCCAAGACTTAGAACTGCCATAGATAGATACAATTATTCTTTTTGTCCAAATAATAACATAGGATATGCATTTAAAACGGTGAAAAATGTATGTGGCAGAGATTACGTGGAAAGAGGAAGTAGGATGGCATTACTCAAGATATTATAGAAAGTAAATGAAAGGGTTCTTGTAAGGTCTCAACCATTTTCTACACCTGATTGAAAAATTTTTATTGTCATTTGCCATATGGAGCAAATTTCATTTGAGCTGGTGATTCATTCATTCGTTTATCCATCAAGAGCATCCACTAGGTACGCAGCACTCTCCTAAGCCTCAGCAGGGGTTGGGGGTGAGGAGGTGGATTCCAGAGGACTGGTGCAGAGGTACAAAGCAGCACTGTGCCTGGCACATGGTGGGCTCTCAGTAAATGTTCAGTAAACAAATAAGAGGATCTGAGTCTCAGTTTCCGTGTTGACAGAATGAGTGGATTCACAGTGATCACTGAGATCCCATCCAGCGTGGCCACGTTAGCCTCCTACACATATTAGAATAACTTTATCTTCATAAGGAGGCTGAAGAGGCACTTTCTTTTCCTGACACTGGGTCTGGTACCATAAACAGCTAGATTTCTACCTCTTTGAGGCAGAGACTCAACAGAAAACAGTGCTGAGTACCTATTCTGTGCCAGATATGGTGCTGATTGGGGATGGAGAGCCCACGACAGTGTTTCTCAAAGTACTACTACCCTCTCACCACCTGTGTCAAAATCACCTAGGGTGCTTGTTTAAAATGCAGACTCCGGGACCCCACTATCAAGTTTTGTGTTTTGGTACGTGTTGGGGAGGGTCCGAAAGTCAACATATTTTTTGCTTTTACGAGGAAGATTGGCCCTGAGCTAACATCTGTTGCCAAACCTCCTGTTTTTGCTTGAGGAAGATTGTCAATGAGCGTAAATCTGTGCCAATCTTCTTTTATTTTATGTGGGATGCCACGACAGTGTGGCTTGACAAGTGGTGCTAGGTCCACGCCCAGGATTTGAACCTGTGAACCCTGGGCTGCTAAAGCAGAGCGTGTGCACCTAACCACTATGCCACTGGGCTGGCCCCTGTGAGCCAACATTTTTAATAAGCATTCCAGATGGCTTTAATCCACACTAAAGTTTGAGAACCACCAGTCTAGGAGATGTAAATTTATACCAGCCTTCTTAACCAGCACAATTTGGACCAAGGGATGCAAACTCAAATGCCTTCAGGCTCCAGGCAGATAGTCACAAGTAGGTGAAGCAGTTCCTTAAGACAAGAGGAATAGTAAGGACTGTGGCGCTGGAGATGCATGCCCTGCCTAAAGGTATCAAAAAATTTTAACACTGTGCTATGCAGACAAACACTTCTGGATGCTGCCAGCATATAGCCCTTGCAACGAACCCATTCCTAACGAAATAGATAATACAGAAGTTCTAGAAGATAGGTAGGAACACAATTCTAAGGCATTGTTTTCTAATATTTTTTCCTAATAGCACTTATTAGAGTGCAGTGTACAAAGTAGGTGCTCAATAAACGCTTTATTGACGAACTCTTACCTAAAACCAATGGACAATGATCTGGCCTAGATGAATTGTTGAGTCTCTGCTCATATATACACTTGTCTTACTCACACACATCATAAATGTTCATTTGTGCACACCTTCTCCAGATATACAGTGAACCCGATTTTAAGTCTGGGGAAGAGTTAGACTCATGGAAGGTCCATTCAAAATTTGCCCCAGACCTTTAGGGACATGAGTTGTAGTGCAAATGCACAACCTTCCAGAAGGCTCTGCTCACCGTATCGCAGCCCTGCCGTGACTGGGGCTTTCTGCCTCCAGGAGCAAACTGGATACCGGAGTCTCGTGACCAGGCCTGGGTGGATTAAAAAGTGAAAGTCAGTGGTTAGAGCTTTACTGTAGCAACCGTCTAAGTTAAATCAGTGGGGAAAAATATAATCTGATGTAAAAGCTCCTTTTATTCTGGAAAACAAATCCCAAAGCCCCATCACAAATATTACACCCACCCTGAGAAGAGTCATGAACACATGTAGGGAGGGGGTGAAATCTCATGGTTTTGATAGCAGAATTTGCTACTGGAAAATATGTAATATAATCAAAGATGGGCATCCTTTTCTATTTGTTTATTTAGTTGTTATTTATGGTCAGCTTGTCTGAGATGAAGAAACCTGGCTGGGTGTTCGTCATTTTTCTCCAGGACTCCCTGCGAGGGTCCCCCTCTGGCCTGGTCCTTAGCACTCACCTCCTCCATTGTGTTGGTGATAATTGATGAGGAGAGGGATGGAGTCAAACACATACTTTTCAGCCACATAATATCGCTTGGGGTTCTCATTCGTTTCTTTGATGTGATAGTGCTTGATACAGGGGTTGTTCTCACTTAAACAAACGAAACATAAATGCCGTGATTATGAAGAAGCAATATTTAGACACAAAAATGTTGACTGGCATCAGATTCCTATTAGCTTTGATTTTTACCCCCTCACAAGGATGGCTGATGCATTTCAACTTGTGTGTCAGTCTCGACATGTTGGCCCTGGGTGCTGTGTTAAGAAGGACTCTGAGGCTGCATGTGGACCCAGTTAGAATCAGTGCTGTGATGGATTGGTGATGTTCCTTCCACAATCACAAAATGGGGCATGGTCATGTATGTGCTGCATGTTTGCCTTCCCTGCTCTAAGGATTTAATTAATTGTCAGCATATGTTAAGGAAGCATCTTGGGCCCCTTCATACCTATTTGACTTTGTGCAGCAAAGAGTTAACACAGCAGCCATGACTGCTTCCTTAGAAAGGTCTGGTTGCAAGGGTGGCCCTTGGCTGGCATCTGAGAACTTGGATTTCAGGCGGGCTCTCACCATTCTCTAACTGATAAGGGTGGCCCCTGTGCCGAAATTGTTTGTATCAACAATGGGGTTTATGCTCAATGTCTGCTTTTCATCTGAGAGTCTGGACTTTTGCTATCTGCCAGGCAGAGGGTCCCTACGTGCCCAGCCCCAGTGAAATCCTTGGGCCCTGAGGCTCTCATGGGCTTCCCTGGTGGACACCATTGCACCCCTGTTGTCACAACCTGTTGCTGGAGGAATTTGGCGTGTCCCGTGTGACTCTCCTGGGAGAGGACTCTTGGAAGCTTGCGTTTGGTTTCCTCTGGATTTTGCCTCCTGTGCCTTTGTCCTTTGCTGATTTTGCCTTTCGAGGCAATAAAGCTTAACCTGAGCACAACTAAACGCTGAGTACTGTGAGCCTTCCTGGTGAATCACCAAACTTACAGGTGGCCTTGGGGACCCCCGACATGGACTTTCTTTCTCATTCCTTCTCCATTGTACCTTATGGAGTTGCAGGTCACTCTCACCACTGTCCCCTGGCCATGGCAGCGGTGAGGCCCCTCTGTGACGTGCACTGTGCTCTTTCCCACCCCTGGACAGCCCCGTTCCTCCTGTCTAAACCCTGCTCCTGCTCTGATTCTTGCTCATGTCCTCTTTGCTCAAACAAGTAATCCCTGAGGACAGCTTAATTATTATTTTTCTCTCTTCTCTTAATTCTTACTGGACTTTGGTCATTGCCAAACTGCTTAGTTCTTACTATTTTTCTGATTAGAAGAGAATTTGAGACTTGGAGAGGCTCTTAGACACCCTTTTACAGAAGGAAACAGAGGTCAGGAGTGGGGCAGACCAGCAGTAAGGGTCTTGCAGTTGCCGGCTGGAGCATGAGTGTGGCTTGACTGCTTGAGCTCCATTCCTCAGGGAGGGCCCGTCAACTATTTGAGCCTCAGTCTCCTCCACGTGAAATGAGCACAGTAACTCCTGCTTTCGGGGCCTATTAGGATTGGAAGTGGTCTGTAAAATTCTGGCACACACAGAGTAAGGACTTAATAAGTGGTAGGTAGATTTAGTAACAGAGCCAGAACTAGAACTCATATCTTCTCCTTTCCAGTCGGAAGTATCTTTTCTCTTATTCTATGTATTAAATTATAAACTCATCAAATACAGGTGCAGGTATTTTATTTCTTTAGAACTCTGTACTCAGGGATGCTAATGGGGAAGAGAACCTGGCATCTGGCCCCAGCTCTGTCACTTTCCTGTTAAATGACTTCAGTTCTGTTCTTAATCTCCCTGGTCTTGGTTTTCTCAGGAGGATCAGGGAAAATGTACCCTTTCTAGTGACCCCTCTATTTCTTGTACTCTCTGACGTTGCTGAGCATGCCCCCTTTCTCATCCACCTCAGGACTGTCTCTCTCTGCTTTGCTGACCTTAGCACCATACCTTACGATGGCCTTGGTAAAAACAGACACGGTGTATGTTCCTGGAGTCCTGGAGTCTCGTACCATGAAGGCTCCTTCTTTGCCCTGGAATGGTTAGAAAGAATGGAAGGTTAGTGATCCCAGGGAATCAAGCTCACATATCAAGCTCCACTTCCCTGCCTATGAAAAGAGGAAATACTGTAGGCTAGCCTGGCATAAAGCAGACTTCCAGCAATAATGGCTACCATTTAATTTCTCATTCAACAGATATTTCTTGAGCTCCTACCACGGGTCAGCAACTATTCTAGTGCTGATGTAAGCAGTGAATGAAGATAAATAGACAAGTTCTGCCTTCTTGGAGCTTACAACGTACCAGACTCATTACAGATATTATCCATCCCTAACCACAACACTGCAGTCTAGATGTTATCTTCCTCAACTCACCAATGAGGGTACAGATTGCCAGAGAGCTTAAGTGATTGTCTCACGATCCACAACTAGTAAGTGGCAGACCTGGGATTCGAACCTTGAATGCGGCATGTGAGCAAAGCCCATGCTCATTCTCCTATTCCATGACGCCTCCACTCAACAAATGTCAGAAACCACTTCTCCATTCCCCCAACCGGGAACAACACTTTCTGTCCTGGAAGCTTTGTCAGTTCCTGAATGGGAATATTTTCTTAGGCCCATTCCAGAGGGCTGACTTTGCTGCAGGGCCAAAGAAGAAAGATCAAGAAGCTCCTGGTTGTATGAGGGAGGTGGGGAGAAGGGAGTGTCCTGAGAATGTACCCTTCACCCCTCTGACAATTTTGTCAGCTCTGGTGAAATGAGCACAAGCAAATGGATACACCAGTTTATTCATTACTGGTGGGAATTTTTAAATCTTAACTCTTTTTTCAGTACTTCATATCTAACACTCTGTTCCTACCCAGCTGTGAATCTGTGCTGGTGGGTAACATTTGCAAAACCTATTATTATGATACTTAACTTAGATGTAGTGAGGGCCATGAGTGAAGGCCAGAGATAGACACGAGCCTCGTGTGGAGGGCATATATTTATAGTATATGGAGAAAGCATATACAAGTTAAAAAACAACGTGAGCCCCTCCATCCCCCAAACCCAAAGGTAGGCTGTCTACATATAACAATAAACACACAGAAGGCCATGCTAATCGTCTGAATCCTAGCATCTCAGGGTTAGAAAGAACCTTGTAATGGTTATCCAGCCCAAGGTTACCCCAACCTCAGCAATATTAACATTTTTGGGCCCAGTGATTCTTTGTTGTAGGGGCTGTCCTGTGCATTATAGGATGTTTAGCAGCATTCTTGGTCTCTATTTACTGGATACCAGACATTGTCAAGTGTTCCCTGGGGGACAAAATCACCCCTGTTTGAGAACCAGTGATTTGGTCAAACTCCATAAACCCCTGTGTCCCACACTTTGTTGATTATCACAATCACAGGCACAAAACTAGACAAAATAAAACAACCAACAGCTGACCGTGTTCCACCCGATACCTACACACTCAGAATCCCCAGGATCGGGAGTCTGGTGCCTGAACTTTTTAAAAACTTGCCATGCGATTCTTCTAGACATCCGGGTTTGGTTCTCACTGACTCGACCACACGAGCAGCTTTTACTTATAACAGTCCTGACAAGTAGTCTCTTGTCTCTCAAAACTGTATTAAAAGTTAGAAATCTCATCCTCACACAGAGACATCACCTGCTTCCTCTGACTTAGCCCTAAATCGGCAGGGGTGGGGGACGATTGGCCCTTACGTCATTGTGCATTCTTGTCAAACCCATAGTTTACCACACAAACTTTGTGAAACTCCCCAAACTCTTTGTACCTCCGCTGGGAGTTTCAAGAGTGTGTTTTGAAATTTGAGGGGGGTGGAGGGTGGGAGAATTGCATGAAGGTGGTCAAAAGGTACAGGATCCCAGTCATAGATAAGTTCTGGGGGTATGCAGTACACCATGGCGAGTATAGTTAACAATTCTGTATTGCACCTTTGAAAGTTGCTAAGAGAGTAGATCTTAAAAGTTCTCGTCACAAGAAAAAAGTTTGTAACTATGTGAGGTGATGAATGTTAGTTAAACTCATTGTGTTAATCATCTCACAAGATGTACACGTATCAAATCATTATGTGGTACACCTTAAACTTATTCAATGTTATATGGCAATTATATCTCAATAAAACTGGGAAAAAGAAAGAAATTTGACGCTGAAACCTGAATCTTCAGGTCTCTGCTGTTCCCCTGTGGCCTGCCTTTCCCAAGGCTGTGGGCTTGGCCTGCCCTGGCTCAAGGTGGGGGCAAGAATTGAGGAAAATGCAGGAAGCTACTACATTCCATTTTGTAAGATGTCCTGAAACAGACCTAGCATTCTGTCTCTGTACACACAGAGTTTACTTTAATGACTTTGTATTTCATGAATTTTTGTTAAATTCAAGAAAATGACTTATAGATCTTTCTGGAATAATAGTGCGATCTTGTACCCACATCTCTACAATGCCCTCTGTGCAGAATCTTGGACATGGGGAGGACAGAGGTGATCTAACCAGATGCTTATTTCCCTTTTCTCAGATCTGAATGTAAGCTGTCCATCCAATGAAATATTAAAGACCCTTTATCTTATGTTTACATATCACCCTTTAAAAAAACTTGATTTTCCAAAAATTAGATTTTTCTCCCCCGTTTGGGTTAGTAATTTATTTAATTTCTGAGGTAAAGGTCTGTGTGACATCAAAAATCCAGATTAGTTCATTAGATTTTAAAATAGCTTTTGAGGCATAATTTACATACCACAAAATTTTCCCATTTTAAGTGTACAAAGTTGTGAAACCAACACCGCAATCTAATTTTAGAACATTTCCATCACTCCCAAAAGACACCTATCTCATCTGTACCCCTGCCATGCTAATAGGCTTTCTGTTTCTATAGATTTTTCTATTCTAGACATTTCGTATAAGCAAAATTCTACAATATGTAGTCTTTTGTGACTGGTTTCTCTGACACTGCGTAATGTTTTCAAGGTTCATCTAAGTTACAGCATGTGTCAGTACTTCATTCTTTTTTATGGCTCAATACTATTCCGTTGTACAGATATATCACATTTGTTTACCCATTCATCAGTGGATGGACGTTTGGGTGTTTCCACCTTTTGGCTGCTGTGAACAGAGAATTGGTGTCTGGATTCTTTTGCTAAACATCATGTTTGTGATATTCATCCATGTACTACATGTAGCATAACTTGTTTTCAAAGTTTTTCCCCTTTTACCAAATATTGAAGCTTTTGCCCCTGCCTTGTTGAAATGTGATGGGTTAAACTCCAGGCATGGACAAACAAAACTTCAGCAGAAGCAGACTTTATCCACACACGTAACTTACTCTAAAGGGTAAGAAACATAGACCAAAAAGACCAGAAATTTATCAACTGTGAACAGGGGAGTGTAAATATCCCTTCTATTTAATTAAGAATGTTTTGTTTGCACTCCCACCAGCAGCGTAGGGGAGTTTCCTTATCTCCACATCCTTTCCAACACTTGTGATTTCTTGTCTTTTTAATAACATGGAGATTTCTTGGAAAATTAAAAATAGAAATACCATATGATCCCGCTATTCCAATTCTGGGTATTTATCCAAAGAACATGAAAGCACTAATTCGAAAAGATATATACACCCCTATGTTCATAGCAGCATTATTCACAATAGCCAAGACTTGGAAGCAACTCAAGTGCTCATCAATGCATGAATGGATAAAGAAGATGTGGGGTATATATATACAATGGAATACTACTCAGCCATAAAAAAGAGAAAGTCATGCCATTTGCAACAACATGGATGGACCTTGAGGGTATTACGCTAAGTGAAATAAGTCAGACAGAGAAAGACAAATACCATATGATTTCACTTATCTGTGGAAGACAAACAGACACCTGGATAAGGAGAACAGATTGTTGGTTAACAGAGGGGCAGTGGCTGGGGGAAGGTCAAAAGGGGTAAAGGGGCACATATGTATGATGACGGATAAAAGCTAGCCTATTGGTCGTGAACACGATGCAGTCTATACAGAAGCTGAAATACAATAACGTAGACCTGAAATTTACACAATGTTATAAACCAATGTGACTTCAAAAAATTGATTTTTAAAATATTGTTGTTGTTATTCTTTCAAAGAAGCCATTATTTTCTTTTTTGAAAAATATTTGTAATCAGAGCAAAGCCCAACTGTTAACAAGAATAATTATCGATAGACATCAGAAAAGAGAGCGGTCCTGTTTGCAGTCAACTCTGCCGATCGTGGGAGGCTCAGAGCTCCTCCTCCATTGCAGTGGCTCTAGGTGCCATTCAGCGATGGGGACAGGAAACTCTGGTTTGGGGCTGAGGCAGCCTACAGTTCTGAGGAAAATGAGGCATCCAGCATGCACCTTACCACCCACTTCCTGCAAAGGGCTCACAGGAAGTCACAGCCACCAAGAACATTGGAGCCTAAAGGGTCTTTGCTCATATCACAACCCAGCAAGGGGGTACTGACCTGTGCAATGCAGCCAGAGGGGGCCCTTGCTCCCTTGGGACATATTCAAAGTCTCAGTCTACCTTTTGCTACTCTATCTAGAAAAATAAAGAAGCAACTAGAGGGGTCGCTGGGTGGTGTACTGGTTAAATTCGTGCATTCTGCTTCTGCTGCCTGGGGTTTGTGGCTTCAGATCCCAGGCATGGACCTACATACTACTCATCAAGCCACTCTGTGGTGGTGTCCCACATACAAAATAGAGGAAAATTGGCACAGATAATTAGCTCAGGGCCAATCTTCCTCAAGCAAAAAGAGGAGGATTGCCTACACGTGTTAGCTCAGGGCCAATCTTCCTCACCAAAAAAAAAAGAAGAAGAAGAAGCAACAATAGAAAAAAATCATGCCAAGGAGGTGAAATATATGGATGGGAGAATAGAACTTAACTCATATGTTCCCTTATTTACTGTGTGTGTGCATGTGTATATGTGTGAAGAAACACCCCAGGTCTGGTCCAGACTATGCCGCTGATTCATGCTCTGAACTTGGCTCCAGTTTACTCCCCTGTAACACAAAGGGATGGATCATATGTTCTTTAAAGAGAATTCTAACTCTAACCGTCTATAATTCTGTGAATTCCAGATGTTTCCTGGTTAAATGTATGAGCTTCAGTTTCCTCACCTGTGAAACGATGTTTGTAAGGTTGTCAGGAGAATTAAAGTGCGTAAAACAGTTCCTGGAATATGATACCAGAACAAGGGCTATTAGAGCTATTGTCAGCTATTATTATCACACACTATGGTATACCATCTGCTGAGGTATTGATCACGTTACTTCATCTGCCTTCATCTGAGGTATGTTGACCATGTTAGGAGTATATGTCTTTCTTTCTGTCCACATGATTTGAAGGTCATCTTACAGAAGACAATCTCAAAGTAGTTGAGTTAACAGTAGTTGCAATAACAGGAGTGATTGCAAAAAAGACTGACCGGTAATTCATAACCTTGTCACCCTGCATCATGCTTTAAGTGTCTCTGACGCATAGTCACTCTTCACTCTGGATGTTGTTCTTTTCTTCTCTTGAAACAAACCCATTATTAAGTCAATATTGCATCTGTAACTAATGGCGTCTTAGAATCATGGAAATATGATAAACCAATGTCTCCAATCAGGTTCCTACTTGAAATTCAGGTCACTCAGTGTATGCAATGCTGTAAGATATGGAGTACCTGCTTGCAAGGAATTTACCCTCTACCTAAACGGGTTAAGATAGAAGATAAACTGCTGAGGTCCAAGGCAGAGTGAGAACAGTGCTATTGAAAATGTAATGACATTGCACCATAAGTGCTCAAAGGTGGGGAAAAACACATTCCATGGCTAGGGAGAGGGAAAGCATGAGAGCCTTCCTGGAGGAGGTGTTACATGAAGAATCAGTAGGATGTAGTAGGAGATGCTTTTCCAACGTTCTCAAACTTGGGTAAGCCCCAGAATCACCTGGGTACTATCTCCAGAGGTTCTGACTGGTGAGGGCTGGAGTCCTGGAATTCGTATTTTTAAAAAGCTCCCCCAATGATGTTCATGACCAGCCAGGCTCTGTTTGAGGTTAGCTCTTAGTTTAAATGCATTTATTAAGCATTTGATGTATTCTTTCATTTAACAAATATTTATTGAGCAACTGCTTTGTCACAGATGCAGTTCTGGCTCCCCAGGTAACAAGATAAAGGGTTTATATTCTAGTGGAGAACTATGTAGGGGCAGACTATTGGGAGCTTTAGTTAATAAAAATGAAAGAATCCATTTTTCACTAATAAAAATGAATCAATCCTTCTCTTAAGGGTCCTAAATTTGTTAGATAAGGAGACAATAAATACACCCGTGAAACAATTGGGCTATTGTTTTAAACAGCACACACTACAGGGACCCACTGAAGTTTCCCCTTTTAGTACCTAACGAGGCAAAGAGGACTTGGGAAAGTAGTGCAGAATATTAGTAAGGAGGAATGTTTCATCTGCGCCAGCAAGCAAAATGTCTTCAAGTGTCTCTCCGAAGGACTGCTGTAAATTGGGAGTCACCTTTAGCTAGTCATTACTGTGGGCTGTTTTGAGTGTTCCACAGGCAACACTTTATGAACCAATGTGTGATTGAAAATAACAGAACTGCGCTTGTTTCAACTCATTATAATTCAGGTTTTTAATTAATTTCACACTCCTCAATTAGTTCTTATTAGTCAAGCTTTACTATGTCATCCAATGACATAGGTTGGGGGAACCAGGAGCCAAGCTGGCTGCATATGCATCACAAGTTTGACTTGAAAAATACAGATTCCCAGGAACTAACCCTAGAAAGTCTGATTCTGTAGGTCTGGGGTGGGGCCTGGGAATCTGTGTTTTTGAAAGTTTCCTACTGATTCTAATGTGTGGTTTATTGGGAACTGCAGGAAATGATTAAGCGCTGAGTTGATGGGGAACCAAGGAAAAACCAGAGTCCGGTAATGACTCAGCTCCACTCTTCTTTCTCCATGAAATCTTTCTAACTCCTCTAGAGTCTTCTCTGAGCTCCAAAACCAGCGAAAGACTGCCTCATATCCTCTAGCCTGTTCTTCAGAGTTTGTCTTGTTTCCCAACAGATTCTAAAGCTCATGAAGGTTAAAGATCCTTTTTTTTTTTCTGAGGAAGATTCGCCCTGAGGTAACATCTGTGCCAATCTTCCCCTATTTTGTACTTGGGTCACCACCACAGCAGGACTGCTGAGGAGTGGTGTAGGCCTGCGCCTGGGAACTGAACCTGGGCCCCTAAAACAGAGTGCACTGAACTTAACCCCTAGGCCATGGGGCCAGCCCCAAAGATCCTGTCTTAAGCACCCCTAAGTGCTTGGTCCCATGCTCAGCAAAATGGTAAGTAAGGTATGTGGGTTTATACTGAGAAATTCTAATGAAGGAAATGGTGTAGACATACCATAATTGAAATGGGTGCTAATTGAGACGGCCAACATAATATACACTGCCTGTTACACATCCCTCGCTGGGAAATGCACAAAGTCTATTGAGGAATCCATAAACAACTGAATTTGCTCTCTTTGATGAGAACAAGCTGCCCGAGGGCAGAGCATCTCACCTTGTCCTTTTTGCTAGCTGCCTGCTAATCAGCAACTTACCCAAAGGAGAAAAACAAAGTTCACTGCTCCCAAATGTGACTGTGGGTTTTCCTTCTCCCCTCTGCTTTTCCTCTTACGGAAATTATATTTTTGTCTTTGATAGAATGAATCAATCTATTACCAGCTTCCTTTACACGAAAGTAAATAGCAGGTTAATAATTAACTCCATGCCTTTTAAATTATTCTTTAACAATATTTATCATCCCTCCACCTTCCCATCATAGCCTTTCTTTCCCTTCCTGACATCTTTCCAGGTCCCCTTCTCTAAGGCTCACTCCTAACCACTATCCAAAAGAATGGATGGTTTGGGTGACCAACTGTCCCAGTTTGCCCAGGACCAAGGTGGGGAGGTGCCTTTTGGGACACAGGACTCTCACTTTTAAAACCAAGACAGTCCCAGGCAAACCAGGATGAGTTGGTCACTCCAGCTTCATTCCATGAAGGAGAGATTTGCAGTTTCATTTAAGATTCTTAAAGATAAGAAATACCTTCAAACCGTAACTAGAAAATGGCATATGGGGAAACGGCAGGAATACGGTTGGCATTTTGGCACAGGGAGACTAAGGCTTCTATCAACTCATGCCTGTGGGTTACTGGTCTCACAGGTAGGGTCAGTGCCGGGCATTGGTCATTAACATCGTCTGAATATTAAACTCCCCTGGAGAGATTTTTCTCTACATTGCTAACGCCTGGAAACTACAAACTAGAGATTCTGATTTAATTAATCTGGGTGAAGCCAGGTATTGGAATTTTTAAAAATGTTTCCCAGGTGATTCAAATATGCAGCCAGGCCTAAGAACCACTGCTCTAGACATATGTGCTGATAAATAATTGATTGCTCTGTGGAAGGCTTTCTCTTGATACTTCCATGCATTTGGTTTCTCTGCCAGAGCCATAAGTGCAATTTTCAACGCTACTCAAAGTGTGGTGTGTGGATGGGCGCCAGTCAGCAAATCATTACTGATCTACCAACAGACAAAAGGAGAAATTGAGAGTAAGCATTTAGAAACCTTTTATGGCAATCAGAGTCAAGTTATGTTTAATGAATCTAATAATAATAATAATAATAAATTGGACTTGCATTTTTTATGTCTTTGCTTCTCTTTTAGTTTTTCCTACTAATTCATTTTTATTGTATTTTGCAAAATGTAAATCCCTGACAAATTGGAAATTAAAAACAAACCACAAAAAGTGATCCATCATCACAGATATTTTGAGAGGCACTGCCCTAGGATAACAAATGATCTTCCAGTCCAGGAAGAGAGGGTTCATCGTGGGCACCAATCAATAGGTGGCAGCTGCCTGAAACACTGTGTTGAAAAGAACCCCAAGGCCATCAATTATGATGAACGGTGTCAGCTGTAAGACCAGAAGCAGAGGGTGGCAATGTGACTACTGGGTAATTGTCATCCCTGATTGAGTCCGATGCTCATCTTGTACTCATTGAGAAACTGAGGCCCAGAGGAAGAAGAGATGTCCCCAAAGACACACACTGAGTTGGTGACAGATCAGGAACCAGGACCCAGTACTTTGCCCACCACACCATGCTTTCTCTCTTCTCATCCCCCTCTCCCTTAATCCTGATGTCCCTGGGTAAGATCAGTCCTGCTCCTCACGCTGCATGGATCTTGAGAACTGTTGCTTGAAAAGTAAGTTAAAACAAGTGCTGTACTTCCCCTGCACCCACAGGCTAACCAGGCAGAATCTGAGTCACAGCCCCGCCTGACCTTGCCAGAGAAATAGGCAGAGAAGACTGGCCCCGATGGATCCCCGGGGTCAGCCATCACAGCTGGAAAGAATACCGCGCCTGTGGTGACGATTGCATGTCAACACCAAGGCCTTTGACCCTCCCTAGGCTTGTGCTGTTGTATGTGAGTCCTGTAAATCACAAAATATTTTTACACGACACAAAAACCACTGTTAACCCAATATATCAACTCATCGCATTGGCATATACCACAGCATGGCTGAAAGAAAGAGCACAATTCGTTTTATTTTAAAAGTCAAAAGGCAGGTTAGAGAGACTTACTGTGTCCAAAAGAAGTTTTTCAGCTTTGTCTCGGCTGATACTCTTATTGTACCACCTGAAAGCAAGAAAAAGTTGTATGTCAATGACATTTTAAAACTTTTTAATATTTTATTATTTTTTTATAAAAAAAGAAAATCTAAAAATTTCTTTTTATGAGAAAATCTGAGATCCAACGTGGTGAAGAAACTTGCCCATGGTCATATTTTATTATTTTATTATTCACCTATAAAAGATAACTAATGCCAGAAAATTGTTTGGTCATTTTCTGTTTCTACCAGTGCTTTCAAACTCAAAAATGAAGCCAGGAACCATTTCCAGGTAATAAAATGTTTAATTGGAAGGGGATAAATGAATCAGAATTGATAAAATATTGATAATTGTCAAAGCTAACTTCTGGATAAGTGGAGGTTCATTTATATTCTTCTCTCTACTTTTGCGCATGTTAGAAATCTTCCACAATAAAATTCTAGGAAACATTTATCTTCTGCTCCATTTCATAAGTCAGTGGGTGGTTTTAAGTAGAATGATGTTAGGGCAGCTATAAAAACTTAGTACAAATTTGAATATATAGAAAATATCCTTCAAAAACAATTGCAATATTTTCCTCTTTGACTGGTTTTCAAGATCTTCTGCAAAGCAGTTACATTATTTTTATAATTTTGGTGTCTGGTGAAAAAAACAACTAAAAAGTGGTAAAGAAGAACATGAGTGATTTTTAGAGATAAAGTGTTTGGACGTTATTGTTAACACCGGAGTCACAGCCTACCTCCCTGGCCACTTAGTACATAAGAGGAGATAGAACCAACCTCAGCTAACAATCAGTTTTGGAAACTAATAAACCCAGGAGGAGAGAAGTTCTGGGTGGGGAATGAATACCGCTTATGCAACTTGTTTGGCTAGGTGAGAGTGGCCATGAATAAAGGAATTAGTGGATCCATCTGAGCTTTTGAATATCATACAATTGAATGGTACTTTACACCTCAATGGGCTCTTAGAGCTTATCTAGTTGAGGGCTGGCAAATATGCTCTATTTCATGTGCAAACTCTGATCAATTAATAGTGCTTGCCTAGAGCTGTGCGTCTGGGCTCAGCGGGTGTGTCCCTATCTAAGAGTGATGTGTGCCCTGAGTCCAGGCAGGGGGAGGGAACGTCAGCAAGAGTGCCATAATTTGCTTCCTTCATCTTGTCTGACCCTTCATTTTAAGGAAAAGGGATCTGAGATCCAACCTGGTGAGAAAACTTGCCCAAAGTCATGCCCCTAAACTAAGACAGGAGACCTGAAGCCAATCAATGGCTGTGGGTTTACCAGCCTGTGATCACATTTTTGAGTTCTTATTGCAGATATCAGCTGAAACTAGACAATATTAAGTTCAAGGATAAAAAATTATATTGCGTATTTTTTATATACCTAGATAAATACTATCTGGACATTTGTGAGCCATTTTATTTTCTAGCCAAGAGACTATATCTGAAAAATGCAAACTGACAGTGCACAGAAGAAACAGGGCTCACAGACTGTTTTATTTGTGTAGTATAGTGTTTTACTTTAAAAATGACTTAAAATACCTTCAGAAAGGAAATATACTTTTTCATTTTTTGGCCCCAGGCTCCACCATTCCCTATTGCTTTATACTCTGTTGGAATTTTGAGTTTGCCCCCTCTATCGTAAATGAAGAGATTCTGATTAAAAGCGAAAACAAACAAACAATACTTCCTAGCCTAGGGATCCTTTGAAATAAATGCTTATTTTTCCTGAAGGCATTGACTGTAAAATAAAATTATTTTATTTTATTTAAGCCTATCTCATATCTGTTTCATTGCAGTTCAATTGTTCTTGGAACTGATGACTCTTCTGTTAGCTGAGGGAGGGACTACTCTCACATATTTGATCAAAACAAGTCTCAGGTTGAGAGACTTTTCAGAAAATGATAGCTCTTCACTACAGAATCTATGAGAATTTCAGCAACAAAGAACTTGACTGAATTTGAACTAGTAAGAACCCAAACGAATAAATAGAAGTCTTCATTACCTAGTATTCTTCAGCGCTGGTATCTTATATATTCACATAAACATTTTTTATTTTTAAAGAATTTCAAATTTACAGAAAAGTTATAAGATATTATAAAAGAACTTCCACATACACTTGACCTAGTTGAACCAATTGCTGACATTTTACACATTTGCTTTACCATTCCCTCTAGATAGATAAATATATTTTTTTCTGAGCCATTGACAATAGATGTTTACTCCTAAGTACTTCAGTATGTATTTCTTAGAAATAGAATATACACTTACATAACCATAGTACAATTACCGAAATCAGGAAATTTAACATCGATACAATACTATTATCTAATTTCAGCCTTTATTCAAATTTCATCAGTTGTCCCAATAATGTGTTTTGTATTTTTTTTTTTGTGGTTCAAGACCCAATCCAGGATTACTAGTGCATTTAGTTACCACATCTCTTCAGTTTCCTTTAATATGGACCAATTTCTCAGCTTTTCTTATCTTTCAGGATATTAACAATTTTGAAGAGCGTAGGCTACTCATTTTGTTGACTATCCCTCAGTTTGGATTTGTCTATTATTTCCTCATGACTAAGTTGAGGTTATGCATGTTTGGGCCGGAATATCACAGGGGAGGTGTTGTATCCTCATCAGTGCATCCCATCGAGAGACACATGTCTGTTTGCCCATTATTGATCACTTAGTTAGGATGGGGTCTACCAGATATTTCCACTTTGTTATTAAGAAGTGATTTGTGAGAAGATGCTTTGAGACTATGTAAATATCAGACCGTCACCCTCTGGTTATGACATTTACTGAAGATTCTTGCCTGAATCTGTTGATACTTTAAGTTACAAAATGGTGATTTTTAAACTTTATCATTCCTTCTACCTTCATTAGTTGACACTGTACTATAAGAAAGAGCTCTCTCTTCTTGTTTGTTTGTTTGTTTACTTATCTAGTGAGGTATTTCTTATGGATTCTTATTTTATTCAATGGATTGTATTCCATTACTGTCATTATTCATTTTGATACTCATTGTCCCAGATTTGAGCAGAAGGAGCATTTTTAAGCTGACTTCTGTGCTCATTTGACATGCCACATCATTTAAAAATTTGGGGAAGGGTACTTCTTTACTTTTTGGTGCAAGAAGACAAGATGTTCCAAGTTCACCTTACTCTTACCCTGTCCCAACTCTGGATCCCCAAGCCATTTCTCCGAGAAGTCTTGGTTCTTTTTAGTGGGAAGTGTTATTTAGAAACCGAGATCTGGGTGTGCACATTGCTACTGTGGTGTTATTGCTTCTGAGTCTTTCACCAGCTGAGCTAGGAAACACATGTACATGGTGAGTACTTGGTGCACTACAATTGGATCTTATTAAACATTAGGTAGTTCTGTAAAAAGTATATCCATGTGAACTCTTATAGCTTGAAATAAATAACACAAGCTAAGCAGATATTTAATATCTATTTGTCTGTTACTTTGTTATTGGGAGTATTGCAATGAACCAAGTTTTAAATCAGTTTATATTTGATCCAGTGTTCATAGTGTTTTTTTCCTTCTCAAGTAAGACCAGTATTTCTGGGATTCCCAGAAGAACTTTTTTCCTCTTACTACTATCTGTGCAGGCATCTGAGAGTCATCCCTCTGATAAAAGGGGAGGTGAGCACACCCTCTCCCTTTTCTTATTTAAAGTGCTCCTTTACTGTTTATTTAGGGACCAGAGTATAGGGGAGAAGAAATTGAGTCAAGAAGAGAAAATGCCTGGTAATTTGATAATCAACCAATGATTCCCTCCTAATCTAAGGAGGACTCCTTAGTAACATTTTTGGAAGACAAATAAAATATCTTACTCATAGGTTTCCAGGTTATTTGGCGACTTTTCCACCAGATAACTGCTTGGTACATATCCTTCATGCCTGTTAAAAGGGAAATTAGTGTTTAGACTGATATAGAACCAGTTTTCACATCTCCATATTTTAGGTTTAATCCACTAAAGTCATTTGAAGATGGGAGAGTATTGGGCATTCTGAATAAGAGATTTTAAAGTTTTAGAATAAAAGAATTGCTAAAAATAACAACCTGCTATCTGTTAAAGACTATAGATTTCACACTTAAAATATAAACCATAATAAATAAGAAGTGGCTATTTCACTTAAAAAGCTATGCTTGCTATTCTCCTCATCGTGAAATTTCCTCTACCGGAAAAAAAGATTAACGTTCAGTCTCTATTTTCTATAACGAAACATATTTTTTTGTGTGTGATAATCATTATTTTTTCCACTTTAGTGCTACCATTTTATAGTCAGGAAACCAAAATAATTAAAATATAAAAATTTGCTTTCCAACCACAGGTCCCAAAAGATGCTGCCAGTCAGCATTGTAAGCTTGTAATTCAAAGCCTCCCTGATATTTTTTTGTTGATTGAACTCCTTTGGACATAAATGGTAAAACATGAGAACAAAAGATAAAGTCATGCTGGATTTGGGGATGAGAGTTTCTTTTGAGCAGGAATAAATAATTGCGCATAAACAAAGACATATGGATAAAGAGACTAACAAGAACATCAAAATACTTTACATTTGTGTGTAGCTTTGTACTTTTCAAAGCACTTTCACATTCATTATCACATTTGATACTGCAAGGTGCGAATAGTGCCCCTTCCAGTCTCCTGGCCTCAGGCTCCGCACCTGTAGAATGAGGGACCTAAACTAGATTTCACATAAAATCCCTCCAGACTCTACTAATCTATAAAAAGATGCCTGAGAATTCTTGCTCTTTACCTCACAAAGTGTTTTAACAATTTTTGCATAACAAGGCCATTTTTCAATCCAGTGGTTATGTTTAATGGGGAATTTGTAATCTATTTCACAGAATTGCTTTGAGGAGTGAAGAAATAAAAACTGGAGAATCCAAATATGGGATGATGCTCTCATATCTTGTGCCCTTGGCTGACATGGCTAGTCAGGTATGGCGTGCTCTCTTCAAAGAGTTGGCCATTCAGCCTCAGAATCATCCTTGACGTGGTGCTCAAGGCAGTCAGTGCCAATTGATGGGTGTTGACTTGTTCTGAAATTTGCTATTTCTTTTATATCTCTCTTTTGGAATTCCTTTTAATTACGTCGTTTTTCCCACACCATATGTTTACAATTGTATTAATAGGTCAAATACTATTTTTGCTTTTGAATAGAATAACTGCATTTTAAAATGCCAACCAAAGCTGGGTTATGTCCGCAAATAATAATTCTCTTCACTTGTATGTGGATACAGAATTTGCAAAGCCCTTTCACTTTCATCATCTTATAGATTTTTCTCCACACTGTGAGATAGGCAAAGCTGATATTAGCATCTGCATTTTACAGGTAAGGAAATGGATTAACAGAGGTTAAGTGACTTTTCCAAAGTGATGCACAACAAGAGCAGCCGATACTAAAATGCAAGTCTTCTGTCTCTCCATCTTGAGTACTTTGCTCTATACCGCACTATTTCAAAGCAAACTGGGGAAATTCCCATGGTGCTGACTGGCTTCTGGGGTGTCCTCTTCTATGCCCTTTGAAGTGCAGAGTTGAACGTTTCCACAGGCCACTGAACAAAGGGCAAACCATCATTTGGGGAAGTGAGACCTAGGAGAAGAAATTTCCTGGCACATTAGGTGTGCTAAATACATGTTAGTTGATTGAGGGGATGAATTTCTGTGTAAGTTCCTCTGGTGTTTGTAGAGCCAGGTGGTTTTGAATGTATTTCTGATAAGGGCCTCCCCATTACTGGCAAAGAGAAGGTGATGTGACTGGCCTTGTTTGCTTCCACGAATCAACCAGAGAGGGAGGGTCCAGATGAGGGGCTCTGGGGCCTGTTCTCATCGAGCAAGCAATACTGTCCCCCAGACGACTGTTCTTGACCTAATCATATTTTACAGTCCTCCCTCCCTCACCCTGCAGGGGTGCTGAGAAAGCTACGTAAAGAGAAGATGCCTGGAAAATATAAACTTTGGTGTAGGTAAAGAGTAAAGTCTTAACCTTAAAGATCTATGTGTATCTCTTTTTTTAATCATCAGATTGGCTTTTTTTTTTTTAAAGCTTAATGATACCCAGTGCTGACACTCTCATACTCTGTTGGTGGGAATGTAAATTTGGCAACCTTTTTGAGGGAGTTATCTACCAAAATTAAGATGTCACGTACTATATAGTTAGAAATGTGAGACATATAGATATATAATGTTATATTATTATATGTAACTTTTTATCAAAAATACGTATACTTAAAAAAATTATATATATTTTTCAAAAGATTGCCAAGATGCATGAGCATGAGCAAAACAAGATCTTCTTTGCAGCCTTGTTCAAAATAAAGAAAACAACTTCGAAACTAAGTGTCCCGCCATAAAAGATTATTAAATACTTATAATAAAGCATACATTCAAAAACTACGCAATTATTTAAAAAATGAGATAGATTTGTATGTGCTGATATAAAAAGATCTCCAAGATATACTATTAAAGGTTAAAAGCAAAGTGACAAGCAGAATGGACCCCTTCAGTGCAAACAAAAACCTGATGCATTTGTTTATGCATAACTTTTTTGTCTAGGATACACAAGAAAACGTTAATAATGATTACTTTCGGAATTGATGTGGGCGCAAATGGAGGGTGGCTTATTTTTCATGTATATTTCTTTCTACTGTTAGTTTTTTTAAAAATAAAACATTGACATAGGCTATTCAGATGTTGCAATAATGGAGTGTTTTCTTTTTCTTTTCTGTATTTTTAAATTCATAATAATCTCATACTTTAAAAATGTTTAAACACTTAATATTAATATACAAGGACATTAATTGCAGTTAATATTTGCAAAATATTGGAAATAGCCTAAGTGTCTAACAAGGGAATTTGCTAAATTATGGTACATTTTTGTATTGGATTTGTGCAATCCTTGAAATCATATTCTGGAGAACATTCGAGGGCATGGGGAAATACCTCTGATATATTCAAAAGAAAAAATAAAGCCTTATAAAGCAGTGTGAATCTGATGCCTTTAAGCTAAGTACTAGTATCTAAGTCACACATCCCAGAGCATGCTGAAGGTTATTAACATTTTGTTGTATTTCAGATCAGAGAAGGGCTCACAAGATTTTTTCTTTCAAAAGTCCCATAGTGGTCAATTGGTATTTGTGCATCTTTATTTTCTCCATGAATCATTTGGATGGCTAGTTCAAGATTATTGGTGTAATTAAATCTTTAGTATCTTCTTTCTGATGCTTCTTGATGTAACTGCTGTATCCACCATCTCTACATCCCTTTTCTTTCCACCCAAACTAAGCCCTTCACAATGGGATGTACCTTCAGTCTGACTTAAACACTCAAGAACAATAGGACTTTGTGGAACAAGTTGCCAATCTCAAAACTGTGGATGTCAGTGGAAAGACCCAGGACATTTTTAGATGAGTTTTGGGGCCGGGGTGCTTGATAGGGTATAGGGAGCAACACAGCAAGTGGCTGCCTCCTAGTCACTTCTAAGAAGTGGGAAGATGTGCCTCTGCTACTTCTTTCCTCCTCTTCCTTCTGCCTCTGCTCCCCTCTCCTAACTCAGTGCAGTAGTCACGCTGAGAGAGGCAGGACCAATCATCCCAGTATTTTCTTGTTCCTACCTCACCTCAAATGCTGAAATACCAATCACAAAGATTCCTTACCCATTCCTATCTTGAACTCTCCACCAGTGAATCTCGGAACTGTCCAGCAGGTAGTACTCATCATTGCGTTGGAGAGTGAGTTCCTGCGGACCGTTTGCTTGGTAGTCATACAAGGCAATGACCAGGGTTTCTTCAGGTTCCTGAAGTGGTCGCTAGAGGAGGGAGACAGTAAAATTAAGAAAAGATATAGGAAGGACATAAACTGAAGAATACAGTCAGCAAGTTCCTGAGCCATAAGCTGCTCCTAGATCTATGCCAGGTCAACACACCAGTGCCTACAATCCATTGGGGTATTTGCTGAGACCATTTGCCGCCTTCTAGTTGACTTTCTGTATGAGTTATGATTATGGTGCTGACTATGACACAAAGACATCCAATACCTGGAATTCATTGCCCCTCTCATCCTACGTGGTAAATTCTGACCACAGTGAATTCCAAGCAGCCATATTCTTTCACTAAAGTCTGCTGGTTTCTCTACTCGCACCATGTCACACATTGCACCTTCTCTGCCAAATGCATCACATTCCTGGTGAAGGTGATGCAATCATCACTAGATTATTCAGTCCATGCTTTTCTGATTTGATTTGTGGGTTTGTCCAGATCCACAAAATCGTAGACTATCAAAGCTAGAATGCCTTTGAGAGCTCCTTTAATCTACTCATTTGTTTCGAACGGGGAAAATGAGGCCAGGATGGTGAAATGGATGTGGCCAAATTTCACACTGGAATTGATCTTACTGCTTTCTCCACTATAGCGCATGGTCTCCTTTCTTCCTCTTTAGGCTCCTTTGCTTATGCCTCTACTTTGCAGTACCTTTCTTAAGATGAGATGCTGAGGACGCAAAGAAGGGACTGTAAGGCAAATGGTCTTAAGACTTCAGGACAGGCACACCTGCTGCAGCTTGGCAGATTTTGTGAGGGAGTAAATATGGGAAGAGATTGAGATTATTCGCTAGAACGAGATTTGGTGTCAAAAGTCAAAAGTTTTCTGAGTACACTGAAGCATTTGGCAGCATAAAAATACTAGAGTTAAAAAAAAAGGCTGTCACAAAGATGCAGTATGTCATCCCAGCTGAGCCCAGATTAGAATTTGAAGTCTGGATATCTGTAGAGCTTGTGAGGTGGTATATTGGGTAATACTGGGTCTATGGGCCTGAGGCTTCCACCCTAAGAGCTAATGGAAGAAGGAGTTTGTTCAAGGGCACCTGAAGATAAACGAGGGATATGGCATGGTGTTCATCTTGCTATAGGTCCAACTAACTGATGAATCCCCATGAAGAGAAAGTCAGCGCAGGGTTCACAAACCATGGTAGTATCTTTCCAGAGGGGGCATTTTGGAATCTACAGGGGTATTTTGAGTGTTACAAAGATTGAGGTATGCTACTAGCATTTAGTGGGAGAGGATGAAGACTGCAAAACTCTCTGCAGTATCCCACATCCTGTACAGATTCTGAATGTTCTGTTAGACATTCATGTGGTGAGAAATCTGCTTACAATAATAATTTACAGTAATACTCTGAGCCTAGAGGCTACCTCCACCCCATACAAAGTACTTGGTTTCCTAGGAATGGAACCACCTTTTCCACTGAAGGAAGATTTACACTTGGTTTAGTTCAGAACTTTACCAGGAGTTGTTCACCATTTTGGAAAATCATATCACAGATGGTAACAAATTCCTGTACCAGTTGCATCTGAGATGCCAGATCCCATGGGATTCCAGCTACAGGTGCAAGCAGTGGACTATTTCGTTCTGTCTTCCAGTGTAGCCATGCTACAATATTTATATAGAGGAACATATTATTTTGTGTAAATTATTCTTCTTTCCTTTTAAGTACTACGGTTAGAAAATTTATTGATTCTTTTAAAAAGTATGTGTTGATCTTTTTAAAAGTAAGTTGCATTATCTATGAATTTATTTTCATGATAACAAAAGGGGCTTTACAAGATATGTGCCATAAAAAGGGAGTATGAGGTCTGATAGGGTTGGGAACCACTAGATTAGAGAGAGAAAATGAAGGGGTGGCATTTGGAGGAACTGAGACTCTGTGCTCCAGAAAGGTTGTTGGGGGCCCAGGAGAGAAGCTAAGTTATGGAGGAGATAAACGGCCCATATCCTGGCCACTCTGCTTTAGGCCTCATAACAGCCCTGGTTCCCAAGAGCTCACCTGACCCTGGCTGAGAAAGGCCCTCCCAGAGAGCCCAGGTAGCAGTGGCAGGGAGAAAGGACACAGGCAGACACATTGCTGAGTGGCACCTCAGGAAGCCCTTCTGGGTTGACAAGGAGGGCCCTTGAAGGAAGGGCTGAGTTCCTGTGTATGCAGGGTGGCCAAGATTTGCTGAAATTTGGGCTTTAGTGTGAAATGTGCCCTCGTTTTCACCCACAGGCTAGAGAGACCTGGGATTGTCAGTTACTCTGATCATGGATATTCTTCATCCTGACCAAAAATAGCCACTCTCAACCCTCTGGAGGACTGACCCTATTCCACAGTTTCTCGTACAGAACATCAGGCCTGTTAGTTCAGATTGCATGAAAAATATAGCTTCTCTAGATGTCAACTCAAGATGCTGTCACTCACTAGAGGACAGAGTGTGAAGATGAAGGGCGAAATGAATTCAAGTGGCTCAAGGTAAGAAAGACATTGCAATGGATTTAGACATGTGGTTGAAACTGGAACAATGACTCCCAAAACCCTGTGGTCAGTGTGCTACAATGGTATCAACGCTGCTTCTCTAAAAAGTCTGAAAAGCCAAATGGCAGAGTCCAAGGAGAGATGCAAGAGAGATGGATGGATGGTCAGTGTTTTCTGGCTTTCACCTTTATGATAGTGAAAATAAGATATGAGCAAACCAGCTCAAGGTGCAGACGTATGGGTTTAGGTGGGACTGTGGGGGACCATCTGTAAGCCAGGGCAGCAGGATTCCGAACCACATCTTCAAGGACGATGATGAAATATTCTTTAGAAGATCAATGAAAGAAAAGGGAAAAGAGTTCATTTTCTGCTAGAGTTTAAATATACTTCTTTCTTGTCATTAGGGAGTGGGCTGAAGACAGATCTAAAAACCAGCCCGTGGTTTTGAATGATTTAGAACTTCTCGTATGGGGAGACTGACAGTTTTTGAAATGTCACCATATTGGTTGGAGAGAGATAAAAAGCAGAACTCATTCTTCAGGAAGAAGTATGAGGAAGCAGAATCAGTAGGTTCTGGAATAAAGAGAAAGCTCTCAAATATGGATATTGGTGTTAATATGACCATAAGGTGAGGCCTGATCTTTCTCCTATCTATTGTTTTTTGTCTTCTTAACAGAATGGCTTCCCCAGATTTGGCTCTATGCTGCCTAGATCTTGTAAATCAGTATACTAGACCAGTTGTCAAATTTGAGTGTGCCTCAAAATCACCTGGAGGTTTATTAAAATGCAGATTGCTGGACCTCTCTCCAAGAGTTTTGGATGTAGAGGTCTGAGGTGGGGGCTGATAACCTGCATTGGAGTTCTAACATGCTCACAGGTGTTGCTGATGCTGCTGGTCTATGGACCACACTCTGAGAACTGCCACTGGAGTTAAATACCACCACACTAAGACCTCTGCAGCCACCTAGCTTGACTACTAAGTGGCTGAATGGCCCTGGGAAAGCCTCAAAACCTCTCATGGGACTTGATTTCCCAAGCTTTAAAATGAGAACACAACTATAACTCCATTAAGTGGCTAGAACTGATAGCAAGTTTTGAAGTAGTGAAAGTATGACAGTGCTTTGAAAAATATAAAGTACTATCAAATGTATACTTCCAAAGTGCTTGTATGTCAAGGTGTAGAGTAAATCCACCATTTTATACAGATGTCGGCTGTTATTATACCCCAAAGTTGTTAGATGGCTGGATGCACAGTTTGATACCAGTAAGTATTTATGGAGTGAATAAACTAAGGTGAAGATTTAGCAGCTGATTGGTCCTTTTACATGGACAGACCCTTGAGAAATTTCAGGCCCAAGAAACCTGATTCAGTTGAGTTCAGCTGAATCATGACAGTCTGCTGTATTTGCCCAGCGTTTGAGAAATCTGGGCAGAAGGGGAAAATGCAAGCGGGCAGAAGCGAGTCAGGCAGCCTGCAGAGCTGTGGGCCCACCTGCGCCCAGGGCTTGAGCTCTCACTCACCCTGTTGTCTTCAGGAGTAGGAGGAAGAGGCTTCTTTGAAGCTGAAATGAGAAAAACAGAAAAAGAAAATGAGCCTGAAACTGCATGTGCCCAACAGACAATGAGCAGCCAGGGAGCTTTTCAGAGAAAAGGGGCCCCAAGGAGAACAGCAGAAAGAGATGATGAGACGTGGAGAAAGGAAAATTAGGCTTTTCAGAATCAGTATTTTATCTCTGTATGCCTGCTGGGTCCCGATTTCATCTTCTAGGAGACGTTAGAAACTTCTAGAAGTCAATATTCTGGGTCCCTCTTTCTGTATTCCCAGGAAAAGCCTAATCCAAAAGTTGCCGACAGAGGGGTTAGGCTGCGTTCTCTCCTGCAGGCATGAAGACTTCCATGAAGGCACCTACCACCTGCTAAACCCAGGAGTGGGAATTGGTGACTCAGGGGGACTCTGACTCACTGGCTTCCTGAGGCTGTTGTGTGCTTGAGGAGGTGGTGGATGAGATGAGAGGTCATCATGCTGCTTTTCGAGAGGACTGGAATCCACTTTTAGTTACCTTAAGGCCACTGAATATTTGTTCTTGCTGCCTCCTCCAAACAGCACATTGTAATGCCTTTCTCTCTCTCTTTCTGTGTCTCCTTGTCTCCCTCTCTATCTCTCCTCTCTCTCTTCCTCTTTCCTCCTTTGTCCTCTCTTTCTCTCCCTTTCCCTCTCTCCTTCCTTTCATGTCTTCATCTCTGTCTCTATTTCTTCTTTAAGGCACTGGAAAGGTCAGGCCTGGAATCAATGGACCAAAGTTGTGTGCCTGGGAGTGTGTGTGGCATGGAAGGCAGCACTTACTCTTCCACTCAATTCAAAGACTTCTTTAACAATTAGAGGTAAGAAGTGAATGGGTTCCATAAAATGGTGGTGAGCTCCTCATCTCTGCAGGAGGTTGACTTGAAGTTGGACACCCTGAGCTGGGGGTATGGTAAGAGGAGATTCACTCATTGGCACTAGAGCCTAGCCCCTGTGCTAACTCCTTCAGGAAGGACAGGGTGGGGTGTTGACTTAGGTATGAAACTGACAGAGAAGGATGACAGACATCATAGGAAGCATGGTTCCTATTCAGCATTCAACTTGGAACCAGGAGACTGGTGTTCTAACCCCAGCTCCACCACATACGAGCTGTGTGGTCCTGGGCCTCTTCCAGCCCTGAACATACTATGACGGGTCTCTCTTTATCCTTCCTCTGGTCCTGCTCTTCCCTTCCTTCCTCTCCCTCTGTGTGAAGTTGGTATGTGGTGACATCAGGGCCTGTTCTGGTTGCAGAAATGAGTGCTGCTGTGGGTTGGGTATGGCAGAGTATTTTTACTTAACCACGTCTGCTGCTTCCCAGACACACAAACACATGTACTGCTATGTCTTAGCTTCAGATTCTTCTGTCCACAAATAAGAAAGACTAGTAGACACAGTTGCCATTTATTGAGAGCTCAGTAAGTGGAAGCTGCTGTACTAAGAGTTTTCCACAACCCCATTGTTGCAACACAAAATCAGGACCATTAGCAGAGCAACTGGACAGGATCAGGCCCTGGGTTCACGTGGGGAGGAGCTCAGCATGACCAGCCCTCCCCAATTCTTGTTCTGATGAGTCATTCAGATGCTCCTCACACCTCAGTCATGTGTCTACGACTCAGTGGAGGGAAATACCGTGTACCCTGAAGAGGAACAGCTGTGACAAGCATGGTGAAAACTGCAAAATGGAAACAGATTCAACGAATTTGAGAATTGGAAGGGGGCTTAGACATTATTTCATCTTAGACCCCCTAAAACTTCCCCTACCATTTTAGAGATGAGGACATGCCATCCTGTTATTGTGGTAGATTCCATCCATATTAAACCTTCCATTTCTTTTTCATTAGACACTAGCCTTGGTGAATATGGTCAAGAGGGCTGATGCAGAAGATCACTGGCTTCTAAAACTAAGTAAATATTATTCTTCTGGGCCAAGGGACTGATAACCTTGAACTTTCTCTCCCAAGGTGGAGGGTGAGAAGCAGTGGTTTTTAAAGTGGTACTCAGAGGGGCTGTGACTCAGGAAGCCGCGGAAAACCCAGCCATGTGTTACATGTAGCACATCCGCCTTGGGTCGTCAATCTGAGGTATCAGGTTTTAGTGCAAAAAAGAAACTGACAGATGAGAAAAGTAACTAGGGTAAGAGGTTGAGAGGAGAGGGAAGTAAAGCAACATAAGCCACATGATCCATCATTCCTATTCAATGACAGCTTTGCAGAGCACTTCCTAGCTGTGTGACCTGGAGCATACTGAACTGCTCAAGGCCTTCTGTTTCCTCAACATCACACCATCTACCTCAGATGGTTGTGAGGAATGGGAGCATAACCCACATGTAAGTACATTAGAGTGGAGTTCTACTTCACTGGGGGTTCAAGTCCCAAGGTCATCGCACAAGATCAAGTCCAGTTGCACTCCAATCCCCAGGACCTGGGCCATTGACCTCAAAGGCCAAGAAACAATGTCTTTTGCATTTAGGCTGCAGCCTCCTTTTCTCTGAGGTTGTGGTGGTCAAGGGCAAGTTTGAAGGGGAGGAGGAGAGAAGCCACAGAGTAAAACAAGCAGTGTTTTTGGGTTTTACCTTCTTCTTCCTCCTAATGTACAGAGTTGAATTTGTGTAATCAAACACATGTGTGATGTGATGCCACAGGAATAAATAATATTATATACCTCCTAAGGCTGTCTCTACAATTTAAGATTTGAGTAGACCATGCCATTCAAATTTCCTAACTTGCAAATTATAGCAGTGCTTCTTAAACTTTATTCTGTCCACAAATCTTCTAGCGATCCTGTTAAAATACAAGTTCTGATCCAGTAGACCTGGGATAGAGCCAGAGAATTTGCATTTCTAGCTAGAAGCTAGATTTCTAGCTCCCAGGTGATGTTGATGCCGTTGGTTCAAGGACCACATTTTAAGTAGCAAGGAGCTATAAAGATACCTGCTTTGAGGTGAAAAAACCTCAACAGACTGGTGGTAGAGGTAGATGATTCCTCTTAGAAAATTCAGAAAATGTAGAATTTTGCAATCAATCTCTGATACCGCTGAGGATGGGAAGCTGAGAGCTTTTACTTCCTACTAGTGGGGGGACAGTCCTCTTACAAACAAGAAAGGGAATTCCCAGTCTCTTACCATTCTTGGTTGGATCGTATTGGGCACAGCCCACTGCAAGCTTCTCCAGCTGAGCGCAGCACCTCCACTTCCCATCCATCCAGAAATTAGGATGATACTTGGGCACCAAACTGTTATTATTCCTTGTTTCTGAAAGGGGTTGGCAAACCATTAAAAGAGTTATTTCCAGGTCAGTCTATCAGGGACCACCAGCTTTATAACTCCTTGAGAGGGGACCCTGCCGTGTGGGGTTGAATGAATATTACCCAGACTAAGTCAGAAAAATGGCCTTTTCTATGGGCATATACATTTATGGAGTAGTGTGTGTTAGATTTAGGCGTCAGCAGATGTGGGTTCTTATCTGGCTCTGTCTTGGGTTAGTTGTGTGTTCTTCAGTTGGGCAAAACCCTCATCTGAGCCTCAATTTCCCCACTGTGCAAAGAGGTCGTTAGACTGGATCAGTGGGCCCCACAAAAGTGCCTTAGGGGTAATGGGAAGACTGAGTAGGTGGGATTCCCACCCCTCCAACTCTCCCCACTTCACAGCTATTTTGCATTTATCCCTTCTAGATTTGTGACTTTAAAGTAAAATTTTGGTAGGCAAAATCTTTTTGCTGAAAAAAAAGTATAAAAAGCAGAGAACTAGACAGATCAATTCTAACGCTCCTTCTAGCTTTAGCATTCTATGAGTAAAGCCCCTTCACAGAGGGAGAAGGGCCAATGAACACAGTTGGGCCCTTTGATGATTTTTCACTTCAGTGTTTATTCTGTGCCCCGGGACTGCTATACTTGAGAGCACTTTCCAGTTTACCCAGCACTTGCCTGTCATATTCCATTTGAGACTCACAACAACCTTGGAAGAAGATAACACTGGTGTTTTTACTCTCATTTCAGATAGAGGCACTGTGGCTCCCAAGATTTCAAATGGCTTGCTTAGCCTTAGTCCTCATGGCTAGAGACAGATTAACATCTGCACCCAGTTCTCCTGCAAATCCAGGGCTTCAGGCTCAATAACAATAATAGTAATCCTGATTGAGCACTTTCTTCGGGTATTCTTTGAAATGTTTGACATGTCCTAATCATTTAATGCTCACAATAACCCTATGACTGACTATCAGTCAGAATTTATAGCTGAGGAAATGGAGACACTGGAAGGTCAAGGCATTTGCCCAAGGTCACACACTATTAATTGGCAGAGCTGGGATTTTCGCCTTAGCCTGGCTTCACGTTTCACCAACCCACACACTGTGCTGGTTCTAATTATGCCGTCAGGAAGGGGAGCCTTAAGAAATACCCTCACTGATGGTCTGAAAATCTTTAAAGCTAGCTAACATTATTGGGTTCCAGCTAGGGGCTGGGCTAGATCCGAGGGCTTCACCCCCAGCCGTTCCAGAGGCAGGCACTATTATTATTATTCCCTCCTCCTCCCCTTTTTTAATAGATGGGGAAACCGAAGCACAGGGCAGTTAAGGAGTTGCCCAATCACATATGGCTAGTAAGTGACAGAGCCGGGATTTAAACCCAGGTCATCTAACTCAAGGGCTGACACTCTTATTCTGCACACTCTGCCAGGAGTCAGCCAACTTGTTCATAAAGGGCCAGATGGTAAATATTTTAGGTTTTGCTCACCAGCAGGCAAAATAGATATATGATGTAGGCGCTTATATAACCCTTTAAAATGGAACCATTTAAAAATATAAGAACCATCCTTAGCTCAGAGCCTTACAAAAACAGGTGGCAGGCTGGGTTTGGCTGACCCTGCACTGTGCTGGTTGTTTCCTCTTGGGCCCGGGGAAAATAGTTGGAACCTTCCACCAACACCAAAAGGGAAAGATGTTTAACCATCAGCTGCCCTTTATTCTACTGTGGAACCCAAGCCTACTGGAGGATCAAGGGGTCTCAGGGACTCAATCGCACAGGAGATTACCTTCTTTAAGGGCCAGCACCCAGCGCTGCCGGCTCTCTCGGTCTGGAGCGAATACATACAGGAGGTAGTTGTCATGTACAACCTGCAGACACACACAGAGTCCAAGGTGAGCCGGGAGATGGATGATGGACAGCAGGCACATCTGGCTCACTGGGACGAGGCAGGGTCTCAGAGGTTCATGGTCAAAAGGGCAAACATTTGGGTGAGTAGGGGACCAGTGTCCCTTTCATCCAGATGTTTGGGTGCTGTGCAGACACAGGGTGAATTTCTACAGCTTAGGCTACTTGTCTCAGATTCCGTGTCACCAGTAAGCCATCATTAAATTGAAACAGCTGGAGAGAGTTCTCCACTTGACTAGACAGCACATTTATTTCTCATATTTTTCAGTGATTAAAAAAATCTTTCTGGAATGTGAAAGAGAAAGATATTAGATGACAAATATATCATCGAGATTTTTGAAACTTCTTATTTGAAATAATGTAAGACACTCAAAAAGTCCAAAAATAGTACAGAGTTCCTGTGTATATTTCACCCACCTTTCTTCACTGATAACATCTCATGTAACCATAGTACATTTTCAAAACCAGGAAATTGGCTTGGTCTAATAATATTACCTAACTACAGATCTTCTTTGAATTTCACCACTTTTTTCATGCACTCATTTAGAATTGGAATTTTAATGATGGGAAAATACATGTTATTCCCTTTGCTTTCAGTACCAAAAATTCCAACTCATAGAGATCACCTTTCTAGTAGGAAGAAAGTCCTTTTCTATGCCACACTAAAAGTGAAATATTTTCCCCTCAGATTAGCAAACGAAAATGGTACCCTAGAGGCCAGCCCTGTGGCTGAGTGGTTAAGTTCTCACGCTCCGCTTGGGGCGCCTGGGGTTTTGTTGGTTCGGATCCCGGGCACAGACGTGGCACCGCTTGTCAGGCCACCTGAGGTAGCGTCCCACATGCCACAACTAGAAGGACCCACAACTAAAATATACAGCTATGTACTGGGGGGGTTTGGGGAGAAAAAAGCAGAAAGAAAAAAAAAAGATTGGCAACAGTTGTTAGCTCAGGGCCAATCTTTAAAAAAAAAAAAAAAAAAAAAGAAGAGTGTCACCATAGGATATGCAAGGGAATATCCACTCCTTCAGAGCCACAGATGCCAAGAGTGGTAGCAAGATTGAGACAATGTCATGACCTAAAGACTAAAGATACCCTCCACCAGCTCTGTCAAATAGAACTTCCTGCAGTGATGGAAATGTTGTATAATCTGTGCTGTCCAATATGGTAGCCACCTGTGGCTACTGAACATATGAAATGTTCATTCATTCAGTGTGGCTCAGTGTGACTCAGGAGCTGAGTTTTTAACATTGTTTTGCTTATGTTAATTTACATTTAAATTTAAACAGTAGAGGCTACTGTATCAGACTGCACAACTCAAAACAGTTCTCAGATTGTAAAATCTGAGTCTTTTTACCCCAGAAACTTGAAGTAATTTCTAACCAAGGATTATAATCTGTTGCCCCAAACCATAAGTAAACTGTACTTAAAGAACATTAAGCTTGGGCCCTTGGTAGTTTTTTTCCTCCCCCAAGAGCAATTAGGATCTTGAGGTAGGGAAAACATAAGGGAAAGGGGAAGGAGGAATGACAATTTTTTCGGGATTTTGTGCTTAATCTTTGTTGAATGAAAAAATGAATGTCGTTGATTGAAAGAATACAGCAGCTTTCTCATGGGATTGGCCAAGTTCTAACTGTAATCCAAAGTCACCCATTTTTGCTCTTCTCTTACAATGACTGAGGATTTCAATCACTGTCCAGGGAACGGGAACCAGTCCCCTCAGGCCTGACGGACTTACCTGAAATGGGTATTTATAGTGGCACGGGATGCTAATGTCACTTTTCACAATCTCCACACATTTGATTCGGGAGAGTTCAATGGAGCCCTTCAATGTGCGCTTCTTCTGTGGGGAGAAAAACCACACCCCATTTAAAGAAGAGAGAAGACAATATTTTTGTCTAGGTTGCTTCTAGAAATCCATTACTAGATAAGATCCCTTAGCTTTGTAAACCAACCCCCAAATATCCAGAAGCTACTTCTTGACCCTCAGTGTCCGAGAAGGACACTCTGAGAAGACTCCTAGGAGAAACATGCTCTTTGTATCATCTTCTTCGTGGCCACACATTGAGCCATGGCATCTTATATCCCAGTGACCTTGTGACAAATAGCAGCATGTGCAAAACTTGTAGCTGGGATGAGAAGTGCAATCGATGGGAAACCAACCACACGTGTGCCAGTTTTCTCTGTTTTGTGCCTATCCATGGCCTTATTAGCATAGTAATTGAGCTCAGGCCTGACCTGGATGGTAACCTATACCTTTGGTGGCACCTTCTTCTCTACATTTGGGTTCTCCATGTTCCTTATGGTTATCCACTGTCCCACCGTGACACCTTGTAGGACATTCCTGACTCTGCCTATAACCGTCCCTTCTCCACATCCCCAGTAAATCTTATCAGCCCCATGTCTCATTCCCTTGCATGTTTGTTAGATGTATTTCCTTGATAGCTAATTCACGTGATGGTCTTTGTGATTTATAATGATGCTACATGTTATCCATTTCTAAGGGTTCTTGTCCTTGAGAGTGAATTCCAGGGAATGTTACCCAAGGGGACTATCAGGGGCTCCAAGGAAGGCTAATTAGGGAAAAGCTTTTGGAAAGCAGAAGCCTTTCACAGGTGCCTAGAATTAGGCTTCCAATGAGAATAGAGGGTTTAATTCAGCTATGGAACCAGGGGCAAAACACTTCATTACGCCTTATCCCTTAGAAAGAGGTAGCAAATGGTGGGGAATTGGGCACAATGTTGGAAAGGTCTAGGTTCAAAGTTGGGCTCTAGTCTAACTAGCTCTGTGACCTTGGGCAATTCATCTAATCTTCCTGAACTTTGATCTCCAATCTGATAAATGAGGATAATAATGCCTACCTTTCAAAGGTTGATTGGAGAATAAAATGGGAATATGTAAAAAAAATTACCTGGCTTATAACAGGTGCTCTCAACAAAGGGTATCCTCCCAATTAAAGAGGTTAAGGAAGTCCTAACTGTGGCAAGAGAGTTGTGATACATGAGTGCACTTAGTTGGTATTCAGGAAGCCAAGATGTCATCAAATTCTCCAGAAGTGAGCTCAGTCTTTACTTTCTATTTTTTCATACCCAGCCTGGTTTCTGGCCTTTGCTGTCATAGCTGAGGCACAGAACTCAGATGAAAAAAGTCAAGATGTGAGAAGGACCCCCTGTCAAATAAAGAGAAACTTTGTGTTCTTTTTAAAAATTTTCTTTCTAAAAACGACTTTATTCTCTCTTTTTTTTTTTTTTTTTTTTAGGAAGATTAGCCCTGAGCTGACATCTGCCGCCAATCCTCCTCTTTTTGCTGAGGAAGACTGGCCCCTGAGCTAACATCCGTGACCATCTTCTTCTACTTTATATGTGGGACGCCTGCCACAGCATGGCCTGATAAGTGGTGTGTAGGTCCGTACCCGGGATCTGAACCGGCAAATCCCAGGCTGATGAAGCAGAATGTGTGAACTTAACTGCTGCACCACCAAGCCATCCGCACAACTTTATTCATTTTTGAAAGTAAAAAATCTGTCCATGTTCCTTGTCACAAATCAAACAATATGGCGATGTATGAAGAAAATATTTATAGTGTCTCATTATCCTACTCTTCTCCACAACTCTTAGGTAGCCAAGGTTAACCATCTGGAATGCATTTGTCTTTTCCACACACATTTATAGGATATATATACAACAAAAATGAGCATCTGCTCCGCAGAGTGGTCCACAACTTGCTTTTGTAATCTAACGATGGAGTAAGAGGTCCAGTCTTCCCTTAAAAACCTCTGAAAACATGTGCCCTTTGGACTCAAACTATCTTCTCATTTAGAGTCTCCCACAGCTGGAATACACGCCCTGATCCTGCCCATAATCATAGTCTTTGGAACGGTTAGTCTGTTTTTCAAAAACACAAGAGCACAAGAGAGCTGCCTTTCAGCAACCATCTGCTGCTGCGGGTAAACAGGCAGTCTGAGCTTTGAGGTTATCTTGTTTTCCAACCTCTGTTGGGTTATTTCCTTAGTAGTGTACACAGCAAAATGCAACAAAAGGCTCATGGCAGTAACATGAGAACTCCGTCTGCAGACATTTTTGTCCTTGGAACTCACTAAGTCCTGCACTCCCGGAGAGTAGAGACCAGGACATCAGTCACCGTATCCCCAAGGCCTATCTCAGTGGCTGGCCCACAAGAGGTGCTTACTTAGGATGATATGAATGAAAGGCACCAAGTTGGAACACTGTTTGAACAATCTCAATCAGATTTAAGGCTAATACATTGAACCATTCAGGAAAATATTTATTGAGGGCCAGCTGTAGCTGTCTCAGCTGTGTGAAGCAGGAAATAGAGAGCTGAACACAAAAGACTTTCTCATGGAGCTCACGGTCTCTTTGGAAGGCAGACACTATAAAAAAGTGCTCTAAAGAGATTAGAACACGTTAATGTGATCAACTTGTGGTCAGAGCAGGCCTCCCTGGAGAGAGGGCATCTGAGAAGAGATCAGAAAGTTGAAAAAAGAGCCAGACATGAGAAGCTCTGGGGGAATGAGAATCCTAGGTGGAGCGACTAGCAAGAGCAAATGCCCTGGGGTAGAAGTGTTCTGGATAAGTATCGCCTGTTAATAGCCTGAGATCATCATAATCAGGGTAGAGAGTAGAGGTAAATATTTACTGGAGTTGTGAATACGGATACAGATTCTACGTGAGGTTCTAAAGGTGCGCTGCCCAATACAAACATATATGTAATTTAAAATTTTCTAGTAGCCACATTAAAAACAGCAAAAAGAAACAAATAAAATTAATTTTAAGAATGTATTTTGTTTAACCCAATATATCCAAACTGTTATCATTTCCACATGTAATCAACATGAAAAATTGAGATAAATTACTTTTTTGTACTGTCTTTGGAATCATGCATTTTACAACACATCTCAATTTGGACTTGCCACATTTCAGGAGTTCAGTAGCTACACATGGCTGGTGGCTACCTTAATGGACAGTGTGGCTTCAAGAGTTCCAAGAAAGATTTCTCCTCTAAACTCAGATGATGGCTTTTGATTTCTTAATACTCGGTGGGCTCAAACATGGATTTTTTTTTTTTTTTTAAACAGAATGATGCTATAGGTACAGAATGGTTGTCAGCTTTTTTGTTTTTTGAAGATTGTCATCTGAGCTAACAACTGTTGTCAATCTTCTTTTTATTCTTCTCCCCAAAGCCCCCCAGTACATAGTTATATATTCTAGTTGTGAGTGTCTCTGGTCATGCTATGTGAGACGTCGCCTCAGCATGGCCTGATGAGCGGTGCTAGGTCCACGCCCAGGATCTGAACCCGCGAAACCCTGAGCCGACGAACCGGAGCACGCGAACTTAACCACCCAGCCACCAGGCTGGCCCCCTCAAACATGGATTTTAAGAGACATTTGTGCCTTAACAGTCTGCTGTTAGGTCTGCTCTTCTATTGGAATAGATTTCATTTTCCACTGTCAAAACTCACTCTCATCACCAAATGAGTGTTCGGGTTCCCGCACAGTCCATCCTGCATGGTCAGTCCCTCCAAAGGCCCTGAGATGCATTCTCCTCAGATCTCATAAGATCTGACACGTTGTGAACAACAGGGCCAGCTGTGCATTCCTCTAGCTGGGCACCGGGGAGCAGCGGGTCAGCAAGCTAAACACGGCTCTCTCTCTGGGAAATGGTGATTGCCTGTAATCATCCCAAATAAATGTGCTATTTCTGAAAAATGCCAGGGTAAGCCTTCCAAGGAAACCACACAAGAACCACCAGAGAAAGAGAGCCACCAAGTAAAGCCTGCCCTCATCCTTCCTTGTTATTCCATCTGCATCGCTCCGGGTGAAATGAAAGTCACAGGACTATTCTTGGCCATGTCCCTTTTCTTGGCCATGTTCAAAGCTGTCCTCATTTTCCAAAGCTTCACCCCAGACATCTGATGTGTGTCAAACATGATCCAACAAGAAGCTGACGCCCACGTATTTGGACAAAGGCAAGCTTACGCAAGCGGCTTTTATATCTCCTTTCTTTTTATGTTAATATATTGTATGAGACAGAATTTTGGATTGTGAGTTTCAAAGAGAGAGACAGGAATAAACAAAATAAAAGATAATAATGTTTTTGAGCACATCCTATATTTCAGGCACTCAACGAGCTATCTCATTTAATCATGATCCCCTAAAGTATTATTCCCCATTTTATAGGTGAGAAAATTGAGGTTCAGAGGAGCCAAGTCTCTTAATGAGTGGAAGAGCAGTGTACAGCTCAACTCTGTGACTCCAGAACCTGAACGCTTAACGACTGTGCTTCACGGCTTTGCATTTGCCCCAATTTTCCACAGAAGACTTTCATTTCCCAAACCCAACACCGAGCCATCAGTTGCATGACTGATTTTTCCAAGTCATGACCCAGCAGAGATTTGTTTCTGTCCAATTTGGTCATGGGATGCTTATGCTAAATTTGAAAAGGAGAGCACGTTCCCTGGTTCCTCAGAATAACGGCTCCTTTTTCGTCCTATAACATTGCCTCCTTGACTGCTCGGCCAATATATCAGTGAGAAGCTATGTGTATGATCCCCATGAGAGAAGACAGCTCCACCCCTCTGAAGAACAGCAGAATTTCAGCTTTCTGTTCTGGGGAGGCAGAACGCGACAGAAACGAGCTTCCAGGTCGGGCAGATCTGCATTCGTCTGACCAGCTCTGAAAGCTGAGGCCAGTGTCTCAGCTTCTTGGTTGCCTTGTTTTTCTAAAAGTGGGACTGGTAATAGTCCCTGAATCATCAGTTTAATTTAGAGGACTTGAAAGAACTACATAAACCTACTAGCAAAACAAAATCATTCAAATGATAAA